GGGGGGGGGGGGGGGGGTGACCCACATGACACCCATGCATGGCATCCCCTGTTTGTCTGTCTGTCTGTCCGTCTGTGGCAGACAAGGGTTACAAGGATTTGGCCGGTTACCTGGCTGAGCTGCTCAAGTTCGTGGAGGTCAACAGGGTGGCGACGCGCAATATCCTGACCAAGTGCCAGACGAAGACTCCCTTCGTGGGGCTGCTCCAGGAGGATTTCCTGCACCAGTACCTCAAGAGCAGACTCAGACCGGAAGCTGAGTTACGGATCGACCAGCTGCAGCATCGCACAGGTGGGTGGGTGGGTGGGTGGGTGCGGGAGGATGCTCACAGACGAACGACACCAATACGATCGTGCAATGGGTCCGTTTGTGTCTGCTATGGTGTGTGTGCGGGTGTGCGGGTGTGCGTGTGTGTGTGTGTTGTGGTGAGCCGTGCAGGGCTGGACATAGTTGTGAAGGAGATCGAGACGAAGCTGTCGGAGCTGCATGCCATCGCCGACAGGTGGATATCCGAAGGAACAATGGAGCCAGCGCAGCCCCCATCCACTCCCGGTGAGATCATCACACCGGCTGGCCAGGAGGGCGGGGTAGCCGAGGGAAATGCGCCGGGGCGTGACGATGGGCATGTGTGTGGTGCAGAGGGGGTGATTCCAATCGTTCAATCGTTCGACGGTGGAGGTAGCAGTCCGCCGGATGGCTGGCTGCCCTTGCGGCAGAGGTGAGAGGGGAGGGGGGCGGGGGGGCAATGGATGGATGGATCGGTCATGCCATGTGGCGATGGTGCTGTTGGGGTGTCGTGTGTGTATGTCAGGCTTGCTGACCTGCTGGCCGACTTGACGCGCAGAGAGCGGCAGAGCGGGGCGCTGCCGTGAGAGAGACAACCAAGGAGGACTCATTCCTTGCTCTTGCTGTGTTTGTGGTGTGTTGTCTGCAGGCATCAGTCGATTGCATTGCAGCAGCAGCGTGACGCCGCCTGTCGGGAGAGCGAATGGTAAATTCACCAACACATGGATGGCCACATCAATGCGTCCGTCGAGGTGGCCTGCTGTCCTCGTCTTTGTTCTGTTGGCGTGTAGGTTTCATGAGGCTCAGCTGGCGGCCGAGCAGACCGTGGGACGGCTCCAGGCTGACCTGCAGAGAGCCGCCTCGGCCTATCGTGAGCTCAACGAGCAGCACCGACACAAAATGCACACACTCTGTGTCCTTCTTTCTCCTTGTGTATGCGTCTGGATGTCAGGTGACTCTCAGCTCGATCGCGGTGCCATTCCCGAGGCACCCATACGCAGCGACCCCGGCCCGCCGCCCATCCTACACGACGACAACCGGCTGACGGATGCGGTGAAGCTGAACCGGCAGGACTGCAAGGAGTGCACCCTCCTGATGGACCACCTGAGGCAGTGGGTGGCGGAGTGCCCGAACATCCGCGACTTCGATCACTACGAGCGGCACATGCTGATCGGCATCTCGTCGGTGGTGCTGGACGTGCTGTGCGACATGGTGGCCGGCTTCGACAACCCCAGCTCGACGGCGTCACGGAGGCAGATCGAGTGCCTAGGCAAGTGGCAAGGCTGGTTCGGTAAGTGTGGGGGGGGGAGGGAGTACCGTGTATCTGTCTGATGTGCTGTGGTGTGGTTGCTGTGTGGTGTCAGGGGTGTTGTTGGAGGACCTGCAGTATCATATCGGCCCCCACCACCGCATCTCACCCACAGCAGGTGGGCAACACAGACATGCGCACACACAGACACACATGCACAAACATGCCCTTTGGCCGTTCTCCCCATCAGATGACAACGGTCACCTCCGTCACCATCACCCTCAGCCCCAAGACCAGCACCACGCCAACAACGATGACGCCCGTCTCCGCCCCGGCCGCCAAGGTAGTGCCAGTCGCCACCACTACAACAACCGACACGACCAACATGACGACCGTGACGAGCGTGACGACCGTGAGCAGCGCACGTCACGTCGTCGCGATGTCGATCTGCCCAGCCACGGGCGGACCGGCGACGGCAGTGGCGGCGGGCGTGTGGTGCGTGAGAGGGTGGCGGAGGGGAACGGGCGCTTGGCTGGGGTCGGTGTGGGCAGCCGCCAGGGGTATGTAGAGAGGGAGAGGGATGTGCAGGACGAGATCGTGATGGATGGGTATGGGAATGCCAACAACGGGCGGGGCGGGGGCGATAGGGCGGACAACTACTACAACCGATACAACCAGGTACATGATGACACAGATAGATACAGAGATAGATATAGATAGATAGATAGATAGACAGACAGAGGGAACAACCGTCCTCATATCTGTGGCCGAATGTGTGTGTTCAGGCTCCTCTGTCACGTCACCCTCCCCGTGTGCCGGGCGCGACCTTCTCGCGTCCTCTCGGCGACGTGCAGCAGCAGCAGCAGCAGCAGCAACAGCAGCAGCAACGTGCACCTCCCGTCCACGCTCAGCCCACACCTGCACCCACGGCAGGGCCGACCATCCTGTCACCTCCCCTTGCCCCACCCAGCAAGATGCAGCTCAAACAGCAGGCATACTACACCAGCAACAACAACGGCAGCAGCAACGGTCGATCGCCATCCCCTCCGACACAGCCCACAGCCAAGTCCAAGCAGCCACAGGATCGCGGTGGCGTGCAGCTGCCCCCTGCTGCTGCTGCTGCCGGCATTTCTGCATCCATGGGCATTGCTGCTGGGGCCGGGGGAGTATTGGGAATTGGCCGCGACATGGGCACCACACCGAACAACATCAGCACCAATCCACAGAACGCAGGTGGGTGGATCAGCACACAAAACCACAGCACACACTTACACAGATGACTCTCTCTGTGCGTGTGTTGCATGCACCCAACAGGCCTCGGAGCTCGCTGACTAACAAACGGGAGGTGCGGTGCGGTGCGCGAGTGGTAGTTTGGTGATGGACTGAATGTACACGTCCAGAATGAGCAGACTGAGTGAGCGGCGCGCTGGCGGACTTCTGCATGGATTTCCTTGTCAACCCGTTTGGATGTCGATTCAATCAATAAACATCCATCCGCTGAGTCAATACACATCGACCGTCACTGTGTGCGTCTCTGTGCGTCTGTGTGATGATTGATGCATCAGTGCGTTGCGTGTGCTCTGAATCGGTGTGCCGCGTGCGGCTTGATGCTCTCCAGCACTTCACACGGATCACTCGACTCGGACACCTTATGACACACACACACACATCTATCCATCCATTGACCACAGCTGAATGCACCAATCCGCCTGCTCACCTCCGTGTCCTTGAGTGCCTTGAGTGCCTCCTGCTCTGCGGCCGTCCCGCCCTCCTTCTCTCCGTCTGCGGCCCGCTTGCTGCTTGGGTGGGGCGCCTTGTGTGTGCTGGTGGTGGTGGGAGTCGGCTGCTGGGCGGCCTGCATGAGGTCCCTCTCCTTGTCCTTGGCCTCCTTCAAACGACTGTCAGCCACACGCAACTCGCCCTCCTGCACATACATGACACACACATCCATCCATATGTGTGTCTCCCTCCTCTCCCTATGTGTGTGCCATTGATGCCTCGTGTTTGAGTTGTGCGATTGCGGCCTTGACGTTCTTGTCTGTCTCTTGTTCGTTGCGCTCGAGCGTCTCCTGCGTCTGGTGCTCGCCCTCGATGGCGTCTCGAGCGGCGCTCTCCTCGTCCGCCACACGGGCTGCCGCAGACACCAAACGACGCTCAGCCCTGACAGCAACACACACACAGACACAGAGAGAGAGAGATGGAGACATGGATGTGTCTGTGTGTGTTTGTGAGTGACCTGAGTGCGTCCTTTTCGGCGTCGATGGTGTCCTTTTTGTCGTCGATTGTCAGTTTGGCCTCGAGTGTGCGGGCCTGTCGCTTCTCGGCGTCGGCCTCGTCCTTGTCTTGAGCGGCCAGCGCCTCGGCCATGTGCGCCACACTGTCAGGCGCCACAGCCGACGGCACGGCGGCGGGCGGGGCGGACACATGAACGTGGACGTGGACAGGCACGCCCTCACCCTCACCCTCCTCGCCCTCATTGCCGTCGGCAGCTGGCTCGGCACGCTGATAGAAGAGGCTGCTGCTGCTTGTGTTGGTGGCGGGTGCCGAGCGGATGGCCAGCCAGAAGCACAAGACCGACACGGCGAGGGAACGACGAGAGGCAAACATCGCTGACCGATCAAATCAATCAATCAATCAATGAGTGTGAGTGAGTGAGTCAATCGGAAGAGAGCGATCGGCTGCAGTGGACACAATTGCAAGCAGTGATTTGTATGTATACACAAATAGTGCTTTGTATGTATACGTGTCGATAGAGCACTCAACACAGACAGCCACCTACTGACTGACACAAAATCCGATGCCTCAATTGCAATCCCATAAACGCATCACCTACACTACATCACAAATGTCGTCCACAGGTCAGAGAGAGCCTCTTGTGCTCTCGCACACAAAGCCTGAAGCCCATCGTTGAGCCTTACGCTCCATCTGACAGATGCAATGCAGGGAGACGTGGACAAGATGTGCAACCTGAGGCGGTCGTCTCGCTCACCTCCAATATGCACGGTACCACCACGAATCGACCGCAGCAGCACCACCAACAAGGTACAGAAGCCTGATATCATCAATACGTGTCCCTCCATGTCTTCCCTGTGCGTGCAGGAGCTCGGCTCGGCTTGCCTTGTGTCCAGGTTAGTGACAGCCGTCCATCTGCCCTGCGTGGGCAGGTCGAGGGGCTCGTCGGCGTCAGATATCACAATCCCGTTGGCCACGAGGTAGCCGCCCATCACATACATCAACGACAAGACACGTCGCTGACAGCCAGATCAGAAGACACACGCTCTCATTCGTTCTGTCTGTCTGTCTGTCTGTCTGTCTGTCCATCTCTTGCTCACTTCTTGCCTCCACTTGACGCCGGCAACGCGTCCCATCGCGTCGCCCCCTTTCCCGCCTACATAGACCATGTCTCCCACCCGCACCTCACTCGCAGCCACCAGTCTCGTCCTGTGCCTTGTCGATGGCACGACCACCGGCAGCAGGTGTGACGGGGAGAGGGTGAGGGATGTGCGGGGGCGGTGGACGGTGATCGTCACCGTGGGGGTCAGATCGGACGGGCCAGGGGGGTCTGCGCAACGATAATCGATACGGCATAGACACTTATGGCACACACGATGGTGTCCCACAATGGTCGACCGGTGCACCCCTTTCCCTACCAAATGTCTCTTTGAAGTAGACGTCTTTCCATGTGTGCCGCCTTCTTGTCGCGTCCCAAGACAGAACAGTGTCACCGATTGATATGTCACGCAGGAAAATGACCTCCGCCTCACAGAACAAACCGTCGCAGTCAGCACCGTCCGCATTCTTTCCAGCTTCGGCAAATTCAGTTGAATTGGCCTGAGATGGTGGCCATCGTTCCATGCAAGCCGAGGCAAAACGTATAAGTGCTGAAGGGAGACCGCGCCGCAAGTGCACGTCGAGAATGCGCGTCTTCTTCAAAAGCCACCATAGCAGAGGCAACAGAGATAAGAAGCCTTGACCACTCACAGACGGCGGAGTCCTTGCTCCTTTCTTGAGTCGCCACACTGTCGCGTGTTGGTCGATACATCTGATGACCTTGATGGACTGGGCACATGTGAGTGGGGGCGAGTCGGTGAGCCACGTGCCATAGAAGCACTGGTACTTTTTGTAGGGTGGGTAGTCGCCGAGCGCCTTGGCGAGTCCGTTGGGTATGAGCTTGTCGCCCCATGCGTTGGGCCAGAACTTCTTGTAGAACTTGATGTTGGGGCTGCTGACTGGGTTGATGAGCTTGGCAACATCCTTGCCGATGTCGGATTTATGTCTGCCTGCAGGGGACGAAACAAGAAGGGAGAGACACATGGGCACCCACGCGCTTTCCTGGCGTATGCCTGTGCGTATTGCGTGTGTCCTCGCCTTCGGTTAGCATCCGGTTGAGGCACTTGCCCGCGTTCCACTCGCAATTGTCGGCCGCATGCTCACGGAAAGTCTCGTTCTTAAACGTTTCATACTTCGGAGTGGTGCACATGGTGTAGAATATGCTGCCATGCCGAGCCAGCCACGGGAAAGTCTTGCTGAAGTACTCATACGGAAAGCTGCAGCGCCAAGATTTGCCGCTAAAGAGACATGACATCCAGATGTGTGTCTTTCTGTACCGTTCGTCGCCCTGTGTCCTTCGCGTGCCGACGAGCGTGTAGCGCGCGTACTGGTCCGTCTCCTTGGGGATGAAGGGACACACGGCTGATGAAGACAGGGAGACATGCATGGGTAGAGAGAGGGTGTATGATGATGTGAAAGCAAAAGATAGGATTCTCCCTTCCGTCTCGCGTGTCTACGTACGTATGCAGTCGAAAGGTATGTTCTGGAATCGCCCCCGCTTGCACGTCGCCTCCACCGTCACGCGCTTGTCCCACTCTTTCGGCCACTCACCCTGCACCGGGTCTGGAAGACTGCCCTTGTCGCACCGCACGTCCACCGTTGTCCCGTATGGATAAGTCTCGAACGCCTCCCCTGTCGCGTCCTCATCGGCCATGTCGCCTTCGTCACCCCTCCCGCCCTCACGTGGTGGGGGCGGCAGCTGGATCAGAGAGTGGCGGATCCGGGGGGTGGGGACGCGTGTTGGCCTCCTGGCTGTGGTGGCCGGCTGGCTGCCCTTTTGCAAGAGGCTGACCGCTTCTTCGAATATGTCGTAGCTTGTGCTGGTCTCGCGGCCACCGGTGGCCCGCCCGTACTGCTTGTACTCGCCAAGATCTAAGTTGAACTTCTCGGCCTCGAGGGCCACACAGTTGGCTGATAGACAAATGAATGAATGAACACACAGAGGGGAAGAGATGGTGGAGACACATCTTGTTTGTCCACCCACCCACCATCCACCCATCCTTACGGTGGCACTCTAGTTGCGGCTGTGTCCACTGTCCGTCGTGGCAGACGACTCTGTCCCACCCCCATGTGGGGTCGTCGGCTGTCATGGCGGGATTCGGACCAGCATCCTTCACAGACCAATCCCACCTGACACACCCCCCACAGCCACATAATCAATCAAGGGGTCAAGGTGGCGATGTGGCGTGGCCTACGAGCATTTCGGCTCGTCGCTGTCCTCGAAGATGGGCATGCCCTGCAGGCAACACATCAGCTCACGGGAGAAGCCGTTGCGCACCGTCTTGGTATCTGAGAGACACGCAGACAGACACAGAGAGACACACAGGCACTTGAGCTGCTTGCCTGCCTGCCCGCCTGCCTGCGTGCTGTCCCTTGTGTACCGTTGTCGTATCCAAAAGAGTGTCCGGTGACGATGTATCCCTGCCCGCACTCCTCATCGATCTCGTAGTTGGGCTCCGGCAGATAGTCGGGGCAGTTGGCTGGCCGCAGGTGAGACACATAGACATGGCACCAAGTGTTTTTAGAGGGTTGTGATGTGATTCGATCGCTGCTTCTTACCGAGGCATGACAGCAGTCGTGCCTGCCAGCCGCCATTGAGGCAGCGGATGACTTGAGAAGAGGCGACCGACAGCTGGGGACCCTCGCCAGCGGATGTCAGCTCCTGCACAGGCTGATCCTGCAGCCGTCCATTGTCACAACCATACCGAGACGAGACACGAATGAGGGACCTCTCTCTCTCTCTCTCTCTCTCTTGTCGCTTGCTTACTGGGGATGCGCCGACAGCGCACTCGATGGTGAATGCGGCGCCAGCCCATTTCTGGCCCGAGAAGCCCGTGAGCACATATCTTGATGAGTTGAGCACCTCCGAGTCATACACTCCAGCATACTCCATGTAATCCGGACACTTCTCTGCACACACAAAGAGATGTGGCCATGTGTGTCGCCAATCACTGTTCGCTCACTGGATTACTTTCGCATCTGAGGTTGGGTCGGCCCCACTGGCCGTCATTGCATTCGATGAGCTCCAGCTCGTCGGGCCGGCCCTCCACGGGTGTGTATCCCTCGGCGCACGTGAGGTGTGCCACAGTCCCGTGGGTGACTCCCTTGTGGGCGATTGTGTACCGAGACGGGTCCTCGTGAAGGCTCTCCATCACTGACTCCACCGATCCACACCTTCCTGAAGACACACATGAACACACGCGGGAAGGTGTATACCCACACCACCAACCCCAGTAACACACGTACGTCTGCACTGCAGTGCGACGCCGGTCCAGTGTCCGTCGAAGCACTCGCTGAAGTCCACTGGCCGCGGCATGATGGACTCGAAACCCTTGGCCGTGTCGCAAGACACCACGTAGCGAGACCCATGCAGGAAGTACGGCCCCACCGCCTCCTTGCTGCCGGGTGAGGGCTGCGGCACGTCGTTTCGCCAGTGTGCCGGTGTGATGTTGAGGTTGTTCTGGTCTGGCTCTGAGAGGTACCGTGAGGGGTCCTCGCCACTCCGAGCGAGGGCATCGAACGCTCCACACGGCTCTGGAGACACAGAGAGATTCTGTGCGGGTGTTGCTGGCTCTCCTTAGCTGTGTGCACTTACTCCAACAAGTGAGTTGCGTGGCGGCCCATCTGCCATCTGAGCAGGTGATGGTCTCCTGCACTGGCAGCAGTGAGGGCAGGTAGGTCGCGATGCACGAGATGTTGAGTGCCGAGCCGTGGCGGAACATGGTGTCGTTGCCATAGGGCAGGTGCATCGTGTGCAGCTGCTCGTCGGACGTCAGATCCCGAGGGTCGGTTTTGCAAAACAGCGGCGGCTCACAGACTGCCCGAGCCGGCAGAGGGTTCACATAAGGATGACACCTCCCTGCAGACACGACCACATACTGTGACCTCCCGTCATTTCTCTCCCCCTCGCCACCTTACTTTTGCATATGATGGGCAGCATGGTCCACTTGCCTCTCGTACAGCGTACGTCGCACTTGTCGCCCTCATACCCCATACCCACGGTCGTCTCCTCCCCCGCAGGCGGCAGCGCAGACGGGCTCGTCGGACCGATGCAGTCGATCGACAAAATATCGCCATCGTCATAAAGGGACGAGCGGTCGAAGAGGGAGCCCACGGTGTGCGGTGTGCGCGGGGAGGGGAGGCCGCCCTTTCTGCCTGTGTATGTGGTCGGGTACACGTCGGAGGGGAGGTAGTAGAACTTCTTGCCGGGACACTGCTCTGAAAGGAAGACACATCGGACAAACAAGAGTGTGTATCGATGGTGTTGAGACACTGATCGGACTCACTTGTGCATTTGAGTTGCTGGATGGTCCAGAGCCCGCTGACGCACTCGACAGTCTCGTATGGCGACGGCGACGGCCAGTCGGGGTCCGAGTAGAGGTCGGCGCACCGCATATATCGCACCGACCGATGAACGAGATAAGGCTTCAGAGCCTCAGCGCTCACCGTCGTGTTGCCCTACAGATACAGAGAGAGCAACAGGGCGGGCGGTGTCTCCATATGTTTGTCCTCGATACCTGTCTGTCTGTCTCACCCGTTTCTTGATGAGTTCTTCCGCTTGTCTGTCGACGGATGACTGGAGCCCTTCTGAATCGGTCGACCAGTGGTAGTGCTTGTAGTGATCCTTGGGGCCAGGAGGAAAGTATGGACCACACAATTCTGCAGCGAAAAGACTGGTTGATGCTGTCTCTCTCTCTCGTGTCTGATGTCATTCCGCACTTTTGCAGTCGAGTTTTACAAAGTCGAAATGTCCGTCGTTGCACGTGAGGGTCTGGTTGCTGTCCGGCAGCTCGGGGGGCACCGCAGCGTAGCCAGTCAACGGACGCCCCGCCGGCTCTGATCAACATGTGCGACGTACGGATTCACGTCGCGAGCACACTTGAGGTATGCGCTTCCTTCACCGTGGCACGTGATGGTGAGTGTCTCCCCATGATGGTAGACGTCCTTTATCTTTGTCGTGTTAAGGATATCTAGGCCCTCCGGGAGATAATGCAAGAAAGGGTTGGGACAGTCCTCTGCAAGAGACACACACATGGGAAAACGGAGCCCATCCTCCTCTGTTGCCTGCCTACTTCTGCATCTGAAAGACCGCCTTCTCCATTGCCCATCCATGCAGCGCAGCGTCTCGCAGTCCCGACTGCCGAAGACCGGCTCGTAGTGCACATCACCCGGACTCGCACACGGCTCGTCGCTCCACTGGTGCGGGTCAACATCAGGCGTGTAGCCCATCTGACACCCCAACTTGACGCAGCTGCCATGTCTCGGGTGCAAGGGGAGGGGCGAGGGAGGGTGGGCAGATGTGTTGGCCACTGCCGAAGGAGCGGATGGGGGTAGGGCGCATGCAGTGGTGTTGGTGAACTCCGCCGAGGAAGACATAACACGGAATGAGTACTCGGTGGTGTCGACGAGGGTTATGAAATCCGAGCAGGACTCTGGAAAAGGGCAGCGGCGGATACGTCAATGTGGGCCGGACCATGTGTGGGTGCGTGGATGCGCTTACGCCGGCAATCGAGCGGCGGCTCCGGCTCACTGAAGAGCCCATGGAGACACGTGAGTGTTGATACAGACAGCACGGCGCCCTCACCCTTGTTGGTCGGCTCCTCCTCCTCCCCTCCCACGTTCCTGACCTTGGTGAACCGGTCACTCGCATTGAGGTACCCCGCCTGCGTGTTGCAGGCAATGTCGATCGTGTCGAACGTCGAGTAGAAGGCCTTGGGGGGGCTGGCCAGCACTTGAGAGGCCGGGAGGGCATACGGTGCGCAACTGCCTGATCAATTGGATGGATGGATGGATGGATGGACGGGCACACAAGAAATGGTATTGTGCATCCGTACGTTTCTCTGGCCTGTGTGAGTACCAGAGCAGAGCATTGGTGGCGGGAATGGCCGCCATGTGCCGTTGAAGCAAACGCTCTCAGCGAAGCCGGGCGACCGGGGCTCGGGCAGAGCGGCGTACTTGTCCGAGCAAGTGATGCGCACCTTGGCGCCGTGCCTATCCGTGTTGGCCATGCCCCCAATGTGCTCAATGGAGTAAAAGTGACTGTGCTCAGGGGACGGGAAAGGCCCACACGAAGCTGGACACACAGACGCACACACAACCACAGCTGTGCATGTGTGTTGTCTCACCCACGTGTTGCCCTCTACTTACTGCATGAGCTTACGCATGCATGTCAATGGGAGCTGTGTCCATTTCCCGGCCTCACATACGATGGCGTCCACTCTGTTCCTCGCCCCAGTGCTGGGCGAGTACCCCAGGTCCCCGTTGCATTTGATGAACACCTGAGTGCCCGAGGGATGATGCTCCAGCCCGATCAGGATCTCCAGCTGGTGGGCGGCGGTATAGGTGGCGGGCGACCAGTCCGTAGTGTCATCTTTCCCCTCCTCCAGGAAGGCCGGGACACCTTCGTTTTCAGCAAAGTCGCTGGGCTCTTCCGTCGATGTCTAAGATAGAGACACACGCATCCTGATATCTGCTGCTTACAGAGAGAGAAATACTGTCTTACCGGCTGCTGGGTCGTTGTGACGATCGGCGTGGGGGAGGGGCTTGGCGACGGTGAAGGAGAGGGTGGGGGAGAGGGAGATGCACTGGGTGCCAGCACGTCAGGGCCGTTAAGCACCGTCCCCTCGGCCATATGTGGGCGGCGCAGCGACGGTGTGTCGCGGGGCCGAGTGCGGATCTGGGGGATGAGGTAGGCCTCAGGTGGATGCAGCCACGGGATGAAGGGACAGTCTCCTGCACACATTGATCAATTGATGGACACAGAGATGTCAGTTCAGCCGTTCTCTCGTTCTCACGTCCGCAGAAGAGCCTTTGTGGCGTCCAGTGTCCCTTGTTGCAGGTGATGCGGTCCTCAACGGGCCCCCTTGCGGGCGAGAAGCCCTTGTCTTGGTTGCACCTCACCGTCACCACAGTGCCGTGCTGCGACTCCCCCCGAGTGACCTCTTCAGGCGAGACCACATAAAGGAAAGATTTCTCGCTTTCCATGCCCTTGCGGGCCTCCACAGAGAGCTTCGGGCACGGACCTGAACGAAAGAAGCAATAGTGGCTGGCTAGTGTCAAAGTGCTGCTGTCTTGCGGGTTACGTGTGCAGACGAGTGTGAGTGGTGTCCAGTGTGCATTTCGGCAGTAGAGGTCCTGTTCCTCGAATGAGTGTCGGCACTTGACCTTGACCATGGCACCGTCGTACCACCCACCCTCGCCCGCCGTCTTGTTGAGCGCGGCATCCGCACGCCTCTTGAGGGCCTCTTGCGGCTCAGGAAGCGTCTCGTACACGGCGTCATCGAGCATCGACCACTCCATGCACTTGGCTGCATATACACACACCAGCCATGTCTCACGTATATAGATGTCTCTTATGGCCAGCTGGCGATAGCTAATGTCTCTCACCGCCCCACCTCGGCAGACAAGGTTTGGTTCGGTCCATCTGCCCTGCACACACGTGAGTGTCTCCCGCAGCGGGACGGCGTCAGTCTCGCCTCTGCTGCTGCCGGCGCGGCAGCTAACGGTGACTGCGTATCCATGGGGGTAGGGGGGACCTGTGCGTGTGTCGCCCGCAGGGGGGTCCACGAGGTAGTGCAGATGGTCGGGAAGAGGCGGAGACGACAAGCACATGTCTGCAAGCCAGACAGCGGCACACAGACCTGAGAAAAGGCAAGGGCGTCTGGAGATGTCATGTGTATACGCTCGGTAACAGAGAAGCGTCTTGGCAGAGTATCCACGGCTAGTGCACGTCACGGTGTCGCGCGTGTGCAGAGCCCCAAGTCGCACACCATAGCCCTTCTCAGCATCACAGGCCACCACGATTGCCGTCCCCTCTGGCACAGTCACATCGCTGGCCTCTGCTCTCCCACCAGCAGCTGCCGTGCTGTCCTCTCCTCCACCGCCCACCACCTTCCCCCCTGATACTGCTACCACGGTGAGTGCAGACATGGCGCTGGAGGCCTCCTCTGCAGTCGTGTCGTTGGCACCGGTCTGCCTGACGTGGCCCATCGGCGATGTCTCAGTCGAGCGGTTGTTGGCTGAGGCGGCTCCGAGGGCGAATGGCAGCTCTGTGATATAGCCCTCCTCTGTCTGGTAGGAAGGGCAGGAGGCTGTAGCCAACAAAGAGACACACCCCTGCAGTGAATCCATCAGTGTGTCGGTGGTTCCTACCGCCGCAGGGCAGCTCGAAGTCGGTCCATTCGTAGGTGCCCTTGTTGCTCTGGCACTCCTCAGCGGTGCCGTAGCAGGTGCACTCCACCTCAAGACTCTGCGGCCCGTCACTCGGCGGAGACAGACCCCTCGCGCAATACACATGGATCCTGCTACCAAACGGCGCACTCTCACGTGTGAGGGGCGGGTCGGTCACATACAGATGCTCCTTGCCCCTGGGGAGAGCGAATGGCGGGCACTGCCCCTCGCAGACGAGAGTGACGGGTGTCCACTGGCCCTTGATGCACTCGATCTCCTCTGTGGTTGTCGTGCTGTCTGTGGGGGTGGTGAAGCCCTGCCGGCACGACAGGGTCCGCGTGGCGCCCTCCTGAAAGCCCTCGCCGCTGATGGAATAACGCGAAGGTGAGATGGGCAGGGTGTAGGTGGGAGGGCCGCGGATCTCGGCTGGACAAATGGCTGTGGCACACACAGACGAAGAAGAAGACAGGCCGTAGAGCCCCTTCCGTGACGGATCGATGGCTTCTGTCTGTCTGTCATGAATGACTTACCAAAGCAAGGCAGCCTGAGTGGCTCTAGGTGCCCGTCGTCACATTCCAGTGTCTGTTCGCTGGGGGCCCCCTCAACCCCACCCACACCTGCCGATGGGTTGCATCTCACGCGGACCGCCTCGCCGTGCCGCACCAAGCCTGCCCTTCTTGGCGACACAAGTTGGAGGGTGGCTTGCCTCTCGGGCAGCACGATGTCTGTTTGCTGCCACCACAGCAGAGAATCCGGATCACATGTCTCTGAGGACGGACACCAAGAAAGGCGCAGGAGTCGATCGACCACTCACCAGCCCACCGACCGTAGCAGTCCATGAGTCGCGGCGAGAATTCCCCCGACCGACTCGCACCGCATATGACGATGTCCCTGCCGCTGGCCACGTCGGCAGTGAAGGTGCGATTCCGCCTCTTGTCACCGACTACAGATGGGACATCCTCCCGGCACTTCAGTTCCAGCGCCCCCCCTGCCTCCATCGCCTTGACAAGAATGGAGGACGTGAATCCGTAGGGCGACGTGGCCTGTGCATTGCGCTGTTGGTGTGGGGTCACGTATCGGGCAGCGAAGCGGAGGGCACGGTCGCCAAGAATGCTGGCGTATGGCGGACACTTCTCTGAGGGAAGAGGGCAGGTATATAGGTAACAGATGGTGAGACAAGGCATCTGTTACCTACGGGGTCTTACTTCTGCAGTTGCAACTGCAGTCACTTGACCCCAGCGCCTCACCCCCCGTGTCACATTCCTCGGGCGGCTCCACCTTGCCGTCGCCACAACGAGACACAAAATCTGACAAAGGGAAGAGAGATGGGCCCACCAACCATCCTCACACACAAGCAGTATCTTCTTGCAATCTTCTTGCATGGTACAGCAGCCCCTCCTCCGCCCGCCAGCATATGCGCACCATCGATGACCGATCCCCAGCAACAAGAGGCAGCACCCCGAAATGCACGGCTTCCGGGTCGCTTTCGTCGGGGAGGAAGCCGACCTGGAAGCCCTGGAAGTTGTCCAGCAGCACCTGTCTGGTGCCGACGAGGGGTGGGGTCGAGACAGCGAAATGGAAGGCGAGTAGAAAGGACGCCTCGGCGGGTCCGCCAGGGGGGAGGAGGGGGATGCATATGTGGTGGGTGGCGTTGAAGAAAGGAGTGACGAAGTAGTGGTTGGCGCCGAAGTCCAGCCAGAGGACCCGCCCGGATGTGGCAGTCACCCTGGCAGAGAGACAGGAGCGAAACAATCAGCCATCCAACGCGTTTGTGTGCCGTGCTGTGCATGCTCTGTGTCACCTGTTTGTCTTTGTGGGTGGGTGTCCCTGGCCGGTGAAGAAGGGCCTCTCATGCGACGGGTCCTTCCAGCCATCTGGCAGCAACCCATCCTCTGGGCGCACAACGAGCTTCACCACCTCCCGGCTGTCGACTTGACAGTCGATACGGAGCGGTGGAGGGAGAGTGGGCTTGCTTCCGCCACGGCCCGCTGTCCCATTACCGCCAGGGTCTTGAAGGAAGGCTACATCGTCTGCACTGCGATAAAAGGCACCGTCGCTTGTGAGCTGCTGTGGCATCTGTCTCGCATTGAATGTGGGCAGCGCCGCAGATGAGAACAGGAAGCAGAAAAGCAGGAGAGCCCTCCACAGTGCAACACGGCACAAAGCCATCACGTAAAAGTCCTGCAATGGGGCCACAGCTTGCAACGGGGGCAGCGCTCCCTTCTGCCCCGTTCCCCCGTTGATGTGAAGGCCGTCCGTTGCTCATCTCTTTGCCTGAGCCCCATCCATCCATGAGGCTTCTCTCCTTTCGAGGAGCCCCACCCCTCCCTCTCGCCCTCTTTCTATCCCTCGCCTGTGTGTCTGACGCCCACCGCCACCGCAAAGATGCATCGGACAAGCGCCCCGCACTGTCGTTCGTTCAACTCGAGGCCGGCGAGCAACTGCAGCAGTCGTCAGGAGGGGGCGGGTCTTACTGGTGCGACAGCGTGTTCGGTTATTTCGTTGGCGGCCGCTGCCCGAGGGTCAACTTCCTTGAGCCCTGCGAGGAGAGCGACCACCATCAGTCGGGCCGCAAGTGCCGCACCGACATCGGCAAACTCGACTGCAAGAAGCACAGCGGCGATTCCATGTGGGTGTCTGATGAAAGCCCCCTCTCGTTCGCCTTCGCAGACAAGAAGATTTGCAGTGCCCCAGAGCCGGAGGAGATCCGGCCGCTGGCGGGCTGCAACCATTACACCAGCCTGTGTGAGTTTAAGATCCGCTACATCACCTTCCCCGGGACGCACAACTCTGGGGCGGGTGTGGACATGAAGGACTGGAATGGCAAAGCCGTCGAGGACTGCACCTTCCGCTTCCAGCCACACGACGTCATGGCACAGCTCAAACGAGGCATAAGGTCAGCAAAACCATGAATGCAGCCGCCATGTCATGGTCAGGGGGCCGCCCGTATGCCTCCCACCATGTGTGCTTGTGCCTTGATAAACCAAGGTCGGTTACAAAGACGGTGTGTTGGTGAGCTACGTGGCAACTCGCTCTGGAAGCCATGGGCAAGGGGGCAGGATATCGAGGAGATCCTCGTGCAGGTGGAGTCCTTCCTGGACGAATATAAGAACGATGTCGTGGTCGTCGACTTCCGCGCCTTCCAGAAGAAGACCGTATTCACCGCATTCGACCCCAAGGGCGCAGGCGACGTCGCGCACATCGGTCGGTGTGCAGTCGCATGCATCAGTGGATGGCATGCATCTGTATTGCCGCGCACTTGGTTGCAGACGTGGACGTGGAGACCGAGTTCATGACCTTCATTGTCGACTACTTTCGTGACAAGATGGACAGGCTGGTTCCTGCATCCGAGTGGATCAAGCCGACAAAGACAGTCGGGGAGCTCATCAAGGACAACCGTCGCCTCGCTCTTTTGACGACTTCAGAACGACAAACCGACCTTCAGACCTATCTGCTCAGTCGGTCAGTCAGACCATGAGAAGAACAACACGCAACCGTTTTGGCCGCTCTCTGGCTGCCTCTTTGGTTGCAGCAAGTCGCACAGGCGACAGCTACCGAGAGAAGGCGACAGTGGTCGATCTGGAGCCAGCCCTCAACGCGACATGCCACAAACTCTTCCCCCTGGCTCGCGCCGCCTGGCACCGCTTCGAAGGATTCCTGTCTCCATGTAACGCCGGGAAGGCCGCGTCGACATCCTTCTGCGGGTTCTCGCGCGACAAGGTGTGGTCCCGCGCCATGCTGGACTGCAACTACAGACGCGCAAACCTCAAGAGATGGCTCAACTTTATTCTTGTCGACGATTGGGTGGGTGAGGAGGACACATGCACTGCACAGAAACAAACATTGGAATCGCCCCTTCTCTCTCTCTCTCTCTCTCTCTGTGTCTCAGGTGGAGATGGTGCCCAATGTGGTGTCGGTGTCTGACAGTATTAACGCCCCCGGCCAGTCGATGGCCCTCACCGAGGAGTGGGCCGACTTCTGGCGGTCGGTGTTCATCTTCATCTGCTGCTTCACGGCCCTCATGCTTGCCGCCCTGGTGGGCTACCTTGTCTACGCCAGGACCCGCAAAGCCCCGCCCCCAGTACCCGTCAAGCAGCTGAAGCTCAAAGAGGAGGTGGCCCGCCCGAACCCGGCCCAGGAGGAGCCGCCGCCGGCCGACCAGAGCTCTCTGGGCTTCATGGGCCGCGACAGCAAGGGGCTGCCGGAGGGGTGGGTCAAGTACACGGACGCTGAGAGCGGCAACGACTACCTCTACAATGCACAAAAGGGCCTGTCGATCTGGGCTGACGAGATATGGGAGAAGTACAACGACCCCGAGAGTGGGGCGGACTACTTCTACAATGTGGTGACGCAGGAGAGCATATGGGAGGAGGAGCTCGACGAGGAGGAGAAGACCATGATCACCGCCATGATGAACAGCGAGTGGACCGGCGGCGAGTGGAAGGGAAGCGCCGCACAGCAACAGGCTGCTGCAGCTGCTGCAGCTGCCGCAGAGGGACAGCAACCGGGAGGTCAGAGTGAGGACGAGAGGGCCAGACACTGGAGCATTTGGGTGAGAGTATGTGTCTGTCTGTCTGTCTCTCTGTGGGTGGCTGCGTGTCGGTCAAGTGAGGGTAGTGCCGAAGAGGCGGCCGACGCACCTCTCCTGCCGACTTCGTGAGAAGCTTCTCTACGCTAGCTACTGCGGTCTTCTGTTCCCTGTGTCTGTCTGCGTGTGTCGATTGGTCGTATCGCAATCTACGTTTGTGCCAGGCCCCCTGACTGACCGGTGTGACTGAGAGTGAGGGTGGGGTATAAGAATTGTTCACACATATGCACAGGAAGAGTACACCCCCACGCAGAAAAAGCCCCCCAGATACGTGTATGGGTCAAACCGCAATGCGTGTATCGCCCTTCCCTGACCTGGCTGACAGTGAGTAGGGGCACAGGCAGTCATTGTACCCCTACTCGTCATCAGCGAGGTCCTGTGAGGCACGACACGCACCTCAAACAGCACCACTGCCGGGTCCGGCAGACCGTCCTCATCCGGCAGTGGTGCTGTTCGAGGTGCGCATCGAGCTACTGGACAGGACTCGTCCTACCTCCACACAGACAGACTGGCCGACTCATCTTTGTCGCACCACTCACACCACTCATCAACAGTCACGACTTTTTGCCGTCGGTTGGTTGTGGATCTGGCTTTCGACGCCCATCAGTTTTCCTCTCCTCTACCTTCCCTTCCATTCGCGCCACACACTCATAATACTGCACCAGAGGCAGGCAGGCAAGCAGGCAGCGTGCGTGGTGTCTGTCTTTGTGCCTCTGTGTGTATGCGATGCGGCCATAAATAAATACCTACTTCGTCGATAACTTGCTGGCACTTCTCCTGCATGACCACACACACACGCTCTGTGGCGGCCAATGAACATGGCTGTCGACCTGTGTGGCTGGGTTGCGCACCTGCTGGTAGCCTCTGCTGGCAAGGCAGTTCTGAATTGCACAAGCCTGATACGAAACACACACGAGGTTCAGCAAAGTGAGTGGGCAGTGATGCTTTTCTCTTCTCACGCAATGCAACAGGGTACCTGCCTCCTGCACAGCTTCTCCGCCCTGGATCTGCCGCATCAACGAAGGCATCACAGACGAATGCTGTACTCAGTCACCAGGAACAGACAGTCGGCTCAGCCTCCTCACCTGCCATCTTTGTCCTCGTATCGCTCTGCGTGTTTCGACGAAAAGCCGCCCATGATGGTGCGTCATTCCATATGTTTGACGTTGACGTAACGGAAAGCGACCAGAGCGTCTGTCATTCCATATGTCATTCCATATCGGCTGGAAGAAAGCAGAGTTTCGCGTTTACTGTTTTACGGATACGCCTGCCCGAGGGGCAACTCCACTTGCCGCCCAGCAGAGAGTGTTCACCAGTTGGCGAATATGTCTGCCCTCCGAGCCCTGACATCGCTCAGCAAACCCGCAACGCTGCCCCGCGTGTCGCCCTTGTTCCAGCGGGGACCGACGAGCGCCGTTCGCAGCTTCGCGTCATCGGCAGGTGAGGCCAGCGAGGACCGAACCTTCCTGGGACTGCTGCTGGTGGGGTGCGGCCTGTATGGAGTCGGTGCGGGGGCCTTCGCGGCTGACCGGTACCGCACCTTCCGCAAGCTGATGAACTGGGACGAATGGACTGTCAAGGGACCCGTCAACGTCGTCTGATGAACCAACCAGACCACTCAGGCGGAGTAGAGAGAAGGTGAAGAGGGGGACACTGAGTTGTTGGTGTGAAGCGCTGCTGCTCGTGTGCGAGGGTCGGGGTTTCTTTTTCCATCAGTCAATGCAACGAATGCACGTATGCACACACGTAGATATGATGCATTGCCCGCCCCTGCCTCTCTCTGCTAACTTTTTCGCTAGCGTCTGACTGACACCTCGCTGTTGGCATCGAGCCGTCAGCGTGAAAGCCACGGGCACAGCACACATAGATGGATGGCTGAGGCACATAGATACTGTTTGGCTGCACGAATGGATGGACTCACTTTTCCCTGTTCGTTTGCCACGGTTTTGTGTGACACATGATGAATGTTTGAGTGGCTGCGAGTGTTTGGAGTCTGATGGGTGGGGAATGGATGGATGGACTCACTGTCTGTGTGCATCTGTGGCGCTGGATTGGGCAGTCTGGCTAAAAGACTCATCTAGAACTCGACGATTGAATCACCTTTTACGAGGACAGAAGGCGCATCATCAACATAGTTCTTTTCACACAGAACTATCACCAGACAGTCAGTAGCACGCGAGTCGGTCATGGAGTCGGTCATGCGCTGCAGCCGCCAGGTCAACTCTGCCACGGTGCTGCTCGCGACATAAGGTGCGGCTCCTCAGCCCCTTGCACGCACAGCGCCAAGACAGACTACACCTGGTGGCACCAGCTGATCGTCAGCAAGGACACAGATGCTGTACAGGAGACGGATAAAGACTGACGCGGCCATCGGCGCAAAAAGGACCATCAGCATCCAGACACGGGCCAGCCGCACACGATTCATCATCCGAAGAACCCGCCTTTGCTCGCTTTGCGCGCTGCCGCTGCCGCCAACAACTGTGCCCTGCATACAATAAATGCCAACACAACACAGCCGTCCTTGATGCAAACATGGTCCCTCTGCCTCTCTGTGGCCTGCCCCACACTCACTTGGTGGTTGTGTTTGATGGCGCCACCACAGTCTCCCTCTCCTCCCTGTAAGGCGATCTGCCTTTGCGCTTCAGGGGCAGTGCGGGGCCGGCGGCAGCTGCATGCATGGATGGTAGTGGCTCGTTGCGATGCTCCTTAAAGGTGGGCATCCACGACGGCTCGCGAGGCAGGGGCTTCTCCGTGAAATACGGGTGCTTCAGAGCTGACAGAGAGAGAAAGCCACACACACACACACGACGAGAAGGGGGCGGTGACGGTGAACGCGACAATAATGTGTGTGCGTGTGTGTGGACCTTCGCGGGCTGAAATGCGTTTGTCGGGGTTGAATGTGAGCATTTTGTTGAGCAGGTCCAGACAGTTGGCGCTCTCGTCGGGGAATCGCACAGACAGATTGTTGTACTGAGCCAGACAAAAGCACAGGATGCCGTCACACACACATCTGTCCACTGCCGTGTGAGTGTGGCTCACTTGGTTCTGCGGCAGTGTGAACTTGCGGTAGTTGGGGAGGCTGGATATCTCCGGCCAGATCTTGGGATTGGGCGTGCCCAGCAGATTGCATATCAACTGCACCTGATGAATGAATGAGTGAATGAGCCAAACAACAGACAGCACATTGAATGACGTCAGTTCCATATCTCCCATATGTAGTGCATACACATACACACCTGTTGTGATTCGTTCTTGCCGGGCAGTATTGGTTGGTGGTAGAGGAGCTCGCCGAAGATGCAGCCCACCGCCCACATGTCGATGGCCATGCTGTACGACGGCGCGCCAAACAGCAGTTCGGGCGCACGATACCACAGCGTCACCACATTCTGCGTCGCTGGCTCGGAAGGCGAACCGAACTCCCTACATTCACGCACGGACAAGCACAACAATCAAGAGACCAATCGGCTGGGCTGCGTGTGATTTGTCTACCTGGCGAGTCCGAAGTCAGCGAGTTTGAGGGTGCCCTTGTTGTTGAGGAGGAGATTGGATAGCTTGACGTCCCGATGAATGATGAAGTTGTCGTGCAGGTGCTGGATGGCCCGCAGCAGCTGCAGCAACAGACACTTGATCTCTGCGTGAGAGAATGGAGAAGACATGTTATCCAGCAACGTCGCCAGGTCATGCTCGCAGTACTCAAAGACCTGCACACTCACACACACACACACGCACACGCACTCAATCAAAACAGCAGTGCCAGACGATACACACATCACCAGCATGCGTCCTTCACTCCCGTCGCACCTACTCGCTCACCAGGAAAATGCTGTTCATTTGTGCGCCGACCGTGACCTCCCTGAGCTGCACCACATTGGGGTGCTGAAGTGACCGCAATATACGAATCTCGCGCACGCCCGTCCGCGGAAAGCCCTCCTTCTCGCTGTGCAGCCGCACCTTCTTGAGCGCCACTATTTCGCCACTCCGCCGGTCCTTGGCGCGATACACAGTGCCGTAGGTGCCCTCGCCAACACGATTCTGAGAACCACATCAGAGCGGCAGCAGGCAAGAAATGATGAGCATGAATTCAGGATCCGCCTGAGTCGGTTGGCTTGTGCGCTTACGAGCTTCTCGAAGTCATCGACGGACCGACACTCACCAAACACAGACATCGATGCCCGCTCTCGCCAGCCAGTGTGCGAAACAAGGCAGCTTGGGCTGGGAACGGAGAGATGAGTGAAGCGTCGATAGATCTGCGCTTCGTTTGACACTTGGGAGGAAGGAGAAGCGAATGCCAAGCTCGCAATGTAAATACACCCCATCGGCGCAGTGGCCGGGCGCACACCGCAGGTATATGCGTGTATACATGAATGATCGAATGTGTGTCAATACATACAAATCACTGCTTGCAGCTGTGTCCACTGCAGCTGATCTCTCTCTGACCGATTGACTCACTCACTCAGTCAATCACGCTCATTGATTGATTGACTGATTTGATCGGTCAGCGATGGTTGCCTCCCGTCGTTCCCTCGCCGTGTCGGTCTTGTGCCTCTGGCTAACCATCCGCTCGGCACCCGTCACCACCACAAGCAGCACAAGCAGCAGCAGCAGGCTCTTCTATCAGCGTGCCGAGCCAGCTTCCGACAGCAATGAGGGCGAGGAGGGTGAGGGTGAGGGTGTGCCCGTCCACGTCCACGTCCATGTGTCCGCCCCGCCCGCCGCTGTACCATCGGCTGTGGCGCCTGACAGTGTGGCGCACATGGCCGAGGCGCTGGCATCTCAAGACAAAGACGAGGCCGACGCCGAGAAGCGACAGGCCCGCACACTCGAGGCCAAACTCACAATAGACGACAAAAAGGACACCATCGACGCAGAGAAGGACGCACTCAGGTAAGACACACAGACACAGAGACACACAGACACATCCATGTCTCCATCTCTCTCTGTGTCTGTTTATGTCAGGGCTGAGCGTCGTTTGGTGTCTGCGGCAGCCCGTGTGGCGGAAGAGGAGAGCGCCGCTCGAGACGCCATCGAGGGCGAGCACCAGACGCAGGAGACACTCGAGCGCAACGAACAGGAGACCGACAAGAACGTCAAGGCCGCAATCGCACAACTCAAACACGAGGCATCAATGGCACACACATAGAGAGATGAGGGAGACACACATATGGATGGATGTGTGTGTCATGTATGTGCAGGAGGGCGAGTTGCGTGTGGCTGACAGTCGTTTGAAGGAGGCCAAGGACAAGGAGAGGGACCTCACGCAGGCCGCACAGCAGCCAACCCCCGCCACAACCAGCACACACAAGGCGCCCCACCCGAGCAGCAAGCGGGCCGCAGAGGGAGAGAAGGAGGGCGGGACGGCCGCAGAGCAGGAGGCACTCAAGGCACTCAAGGACATGGAGGTGAGCAGGCGGATTGGTGCATTCAGCTGTGGTCAATGGATGGATAGATGTGTGTGTGTGTCATAAGGTGTCCGAGTCGAGTGATCCGTGTGAAGTGCTGGAGAGCATCAAGCCGCACGCGGCACACCGATTCAGAGCACACGCAACGCACTGATGCATCAGTCAACGCACAGACACACAGAGACATCGCGTGACAGTTATTGATTGAAGAAATCATTGTTTGGACCAGAACGCGAGATGATTGTTTTACTTGTTGCAAGCTGCAATAAAGAGCATGATTCACTGGTGTATGTAGAGCGTCTGATACACACCCACAGACAAACGAGCGGACCTGTCCGTCCGAAGACGCAACACACCTCGCTGCTCCACAGAAGGATAACCATGTGCGCATATATAGCGAAGGCAGACCGTCCTCATCCACTGGCCGGCAAAGCGGACAAACGACAAACAGAACACCGGAATGAATGCGCGGTCTGAAGGAGGTGACCTGGATGAGTGTCTGACCATCAATTGCATCAATTAATTGCATCAGCAGCTGATGCAATTAATAATTAGATACTCATCCAGGTCACCTCCTTCAGACCACCGCAGCTTCAACGCAGCTCAAACGAACGAAGCCCACCCCCCCCGTTGGGACGAACGAACGTACACACGCACAGTGGGGTGTTGGCTGCGGCTGGCTGTGTACGTTTGTCCCAACGCTGGTGACACGACTGACGCCCTTGCAAATACAGCGTCAGTCCATGCTTCACCGGCGTCGACCAATATCAACAGCTGCAGCGACCCATCCGACCGGCAGAAGAGAACCCACGGCGCAACCCACCCGTTGGAGTGAAACGCACCAGCAAGCGAAGCTGTCTGTATATACACCTACGTATCCCCCCTCGTCTACACACACACACAGATGGACAAAAACACCAAAACAGCCACCCACCTACCCACTCAGCGACTTCTCTCTATTGGCCTGGCCTGTACACCCAGCTGCTGCATTTCGCACCGGAAGGCTGCCCAGGGCTGCCCAGCTTCATTTCCTCGCACACACACATACAGCAGTCACTTCATTTCGCCGCACCTTCACACACAAACAAAACCCGTGCCCTCACTCCCTCTGTCTAGCTGGGCAGGCAGCTATAGCTATGCAATGCTACATCTACGTGGCCACAGTGTGGCCATGTGGCCGGGCGGCCGGCTAGCAGGATTGTATGTTGAGTCGTGCCCGGCAGGCGTCGTCGAAGGGCAGCTGTCCGTATACGTTGCCGCCCATGCCGTCGATGTTGCCGTAGTGGCAGGACACCAGGTATGTGCTCCCGCGGCACTGGTGACGGGCACAGCCCATGTGAGTGTGACTCTGACCCACACACACACACAGCGCAGCGCAAGTGAGGACATTTCTGGTCGAGGAGGGTTGTGTGTGTGGTCGGTCGACCGTACCTGCCACATGAGTTGTGTGAAGTGTCCAACTTGGCATGAGATGGATCCTTGGCTGCACCGACGATCGCACACCTTGGTGCACCCGTTGCCCACCGGACCGTGGCTGCACACACACAGACGGAAAGAACACACACGGATGGGTGTTTGCGCCCGTCCGAGTCTGTGTGGGGGTGTGTGTGCTGTGTGGTGTGTGGTGTGTTGTCTGTACCGGTAGCAGTGTATCTCGTCGTACCACAGCTTGGCCACTCGTCCGCCGGTGGGCGCCACGCCCTTGCCGCGATACAAATTCTCGCCAGGGTGGCGGAACGCACCGATCTGCACACACACACACACACAACCACAACCACATCAGCACATCCACCGTATCTGTATGTCGTTATGTGTTGTGTTGTGTCCATATGACGCACGTACCTGTTTTCTCTGTGAGAGTGACGAGTGGTGGAATGCGCATCCCTCTCTATCCAGCTGAAACAGATACGTCTTGGAAAAACCCGCCAGCGCATCGTCCCATGTCAGGACCGACAAACCGGCGGCGCGACGGTACTCGTTCTGCTCGCAAAACAACTCTGACGGACGATGCACACACGCGCACCAAGACGAACAAAACATGAGCAGCCGCTCTCTCCCCGCTTAAGCGGTGTGGTGTGGTGTGGAGTGTTGTGGTTACGTGTAATGAATGGGTCATCGCCGTGGTTTGACGTCCCCTTGGCCGCATCGCTGGGCAGGTCCGTGGGGCACTCGCCATGGGCGGGGGCGGTGCCGGTCAGCTCGCGGGACTCGGAGGCCTCGGACTCCACAGGGGCCGGAGACTCTGACACATCGCACACCACACCATCACCAACACAAAGACACCCATGCATCTCCCGGTGTGCTTGTGCGTGTGGTGTTTGTTGGCTCACCGGTTTCCGGAGCCGTAGATCCGCTTCGTCCCGCCCTCCTCACGAGGGGTCTACGGGGAGGCCCATACCTAAACTGCAGGAAGCTAAAGGGCCGCAGGCCGGCAGCGGGCAGCCCCGACTTGGTGCCGTTGAAGGGGAAGAGGCGCTCATCTATCTGGTCCTCGTCGGTGCCCACCGCCTCACACACCGTCATGTTGTGCTCCCCCTCCATGGACGCGCACACGTCGACGTTCTCGTCGTCGAGGTCGTTGGTCCCGACCTCAGGGGGAGGTGGGGGAGGGGCGACGGACGGCAGACAGAGGGTGTGGTTGTCGCTCTCGCTGCAGGGGTCGGCCACAGCGATGCTGATGCTGCTCGGGGCTGCATCAGAGCCCACCACCAGCATGTTGTGGCTGACGACATGGCGGCGCAGGGCGTGCGTCACGCCGACGAAGAGAAACAGGGCGAGAGCCGACAGATGGGCGAGGAGCATGGCGGCTGAAGGCATTCTCGCGGTCGAATGAAGGGATGCTATGGTTGGTTGGCCCAGCGGGAAGCTAACCGACACGAGAGAATGGCAGATCTCTTCTCACACGTCGCTGAGGGCTGCGGACGCTGTCGGGAAGGAGATCTGCTGGTTGGGAAGGTCGGGAGGGATGGGAAGGTGGATTGGCAGAAAACGAAGAGGAAAAGAGGAGCGTTGGGAACGATGGAAGCAGCTGACGGGGAGATGGGATGGGATTTGTGACGTCTGCGAGCTTAAAACGTCAGAGCGAGCATCCTGGCCACCGTACAGTGTACACAGATTGGCGCAGGTGTTGTGCGCATCAGCAGCGGGGTGTGTGCATGGAGCCGCTGAGTGTGGAGACGATACTCGCCATCGTGTTCGAGGTCATCCTCACAGGGTGGCTGTGAAAAGACGCCGCCGCGAGAGCTGCGGAATGGCGGGAACGGCTCTCCCCCAGCCGAGGAGATGGCTGGTCCTCACCCTCTCCTATTTCGTGCTCTCTTCTTCCCCCCTGGCCTTTGCGCAAGACTACGGCGATCGGCCGGTGAGGCACCCTCTGCAGGCATGGCGCAGCACGATTGTCAGCGGAGGGGCGAGGTCTGAGAGCGAGGGGGAGGGGGATAAGGTGCCCCTTTATGAGACCAAGGACGACCCGAGCGGGATGCGTTACGCCATCTATGCGGCTGCGGGGGGGAGGAACGAGGTGACCAAGAAGGAGGCGGAGGCAAAGGGCGGTGCCGCTGTGTCCAAGATGGACTGGACGGACGCTGGCGTCATGAAACTCAAGAGGGGGAAGCTGTCATCGGCCAGAAAAGAGCAGCTGAAGCGCGCCAAGGAGGGCGCCAAGTCAGGCGAGGCCGCTGTCAAGACTGCCGGCCTGTCTGACGAGAACCAGGCCATGATGGCGACCGTGCTCTCGACGTCTGACGGGCCGGCAATGATGACCGAGACCGAGGCCAGCCGCAAGATCGAGCAGGAGACGGGCAAGATCATGCGCACCCACCTGCGCGAAGGCAAGGGTGGTGAGGTGATGAATGTCCTCATCTCTCTCAAGGACCCCGAGAGCAGCAGCAACGGCAGCAAGGGCCGCTACTGGCACAGCGAGATCGAGTGGGCCATCGGCAAGGGCCACATCCAGAAGGACGGCGACATCCCCCAGCACTACGAGCGGCTCTTCAAGCAGGAGGAGGAGAGGGTCGCCAAGCTGGTGCGCCCCTTCGCTGACCGGCTCAAGACCAAGCACGGTGCCAAGGTGACGGGGCTGTATCGCTCGACGCCCGTCGTCAGCGCCAGAGTGCCTGCAGTGGCCATCCCTGCCATCGCCAACGAGCCTGCAGTGGAAGAGATATTCAGGTATCCATGCGATGCGTGGCGTGTGCCAACGAAGAGAAGGCAGACATGTGTGTGGTATTCGTCGGCAGGGACACTGAGGAGAGCCAGACCGAGGGCTTCGACCTCCTCGGCAACATCGTTTCGTCGCTGCGCAGCGAGCGGGAGGAGTCTCGCTCGTCCGGCGGGCGGTCGAGGGGTGCGAGGCTGGCGAGAGAGATCGTCGGCGCCCTCACGACCGCCCAGCTGAGCGAGCTGACTGACCTGCTTCGAGCAGAGAGGGCGCAACGCAGCAAGGGCTTCCTGGACGTTGACGGCATCCTCGCCCCGCTCAAAGACATCCTCATGGACGACGACGACGACACCCCCATCGATGCAAAGGACGACGACGAGCCGGCAGCCGAGGACGTCAGTGAAGATGCGTCAACAGACGCCGACGAGGACAAACAGGAGGTGGGCAAGGAGGACATTAAGCTGACGCGTAAGGCGAAGAACGTGCCGCGAGAGGTCCCTCGGGCCAAGAGCGGCGAGGTGGCCGAGGAGCTGGTCAGCCGCGAGAGGTGCGCGCCGGGCGATGTCCGTTCGGGGGCCAACCATCAGCTGCAGCACTTCATTGACGCTGGCTTCGACGGGTCAGGGAGCTTCCGCAACGCCCAACACGTGCCCATCGCCATCATGGAGATCGGTGGCATTAGGGAGGAGCACCCCGTCTTTGCCTCGAGCAGGTCGGAGGAGGGGGAAGCCCGCAAAATCCATCTGTTCGACTGTGCGGAGGCCGACAGCTGTGAGGTGGTCACCGGCTTCGAAGAGGCTATCGAGGACCCCCACGCCACGGGAGTGGCCGGGAACGCAGCGGGATTCTACTCGTCGGATGCCGTCAACTCTGGATCTGCCCCTGGTCGGTGCTTACCATCATGGCGCATCGGCAGACTCAACAAGCACGTGTGTGGGTGTGGGTGTGTGTATGTGTATGTAATCAGGTTCTGAGATATACTTCTTTCGGACCGCTGGTCTGCCGTCTGCCACACCTTTGGTGCTCGACGTGCTGGCCGAGTTGTTGGCCAAGGGCAAGTGCCCCATGGTCATCAACGGCTCATTCGGCACCAACCCTGCAGAGATACCCAAGGACTGTTCCGGTCAGTCAGATGAGAACGCAAGGCAGCTACAGATGTGCCGAGAAGACGAGCACGCGTGTACTTGCCGGTCGGGTCGGTGTTCATTCAGGTACCCACGCAGAGGACCGGCTGTACAATCGCTTCTTCAAGATGGGTGTGCTGTTCGTCAAGTCGGCGGGCAACGGGGGGCACGAATGTGACGCCCGTGACTGCGCGTGCACCACCACCCGCCCGGCAGGCCACACCATCTTCTCGGTCGGCTCACTGGGCCCTGACAGCGACAAGGACAAATTCGGGCCGAGGTGTCAGTCCAAGGAGATGAGGGCCTACTCGTCACGCGGAGACGGCCCCAACCGGTCGGTCGTCGACATCAGTGCCCAGGGGGCCTTCTCGTCGATGCCCGACCTCTATGACAGCTTTGACTTCTCCGCTGGCGGGACGTCATTCGCCGCCCCTGTGGTTGCGGGCGCCATGACGACTTTCCTCGACATGGCCTGGAACTACAAAGGCGAAAACGGCGACAACAATTCGACAGAGGAGAGGGCGCCGGCCAACGGGACGACGACCGATGCGGGTGGTCTGTTTGGGGTCAAGAACTTCTGGACGGACCCCGGGACGCTCTACACGGCCTTTTTGCTGATGGGCGACGGGCGGTCTGGCGAGAGAGGCGAGCTGCAGATGAAGAATGGGTTCTCTCCGTTGTGGGGCGCGGGTGTGCTCAACATGCGGCTGTGGACGAGCGACGGGATGGACTCGCCGTGGCAGGTCATGATGGGCAAGACCTGCATCGACCACGGGGAGCAGTTCACGCTCGAGATCAACGAGGGCAAGAAGATCTCCGAAGATGTCGATATCTTCAAGGCCGTCGCTTACTGGTATGCATCTGAACTTCACCACAGAGAGAGAGATGGAGGCCCGATCAGCCACATCAAATGTGTGTGTGTGTGTGGTGGTAATGCCAGGTTTGACGAGAACCATGAGATGCCCGACCTGCAGGCGGCTGACATCGACATGGAACTGGTGGACGTCGACGACAATGACAGCGTCATCGAGACATCCGCTCACCCATACACCGAAAACAAAGTCAGACCACACTAGCGCAGACGACACCGCCAAACATGGTACCATGCCCTCTGTGCGCGTGTGTGTATGTGTGTGTGTGATTGTGTGGTGGTCAGGAGCGTCTGTTTGCGTGTGTCAAGAACAAGACGGTGGCACTGCGTCTGATGGGGTTCGAGGTGCCGTCCGACAGACACGACCCGACCTGCGGCAAGGGATCACAGCTCGTATACTACGGGTGAGGGAGGGAGGGAGGGAGGGAGTCGGTCACCGCACGTACATGCCCACAGACTGACATGCCATGGGGGCAGCATACACATACATTTGAATGCCATATGGTGTGTATTGTGTGTCGTCAGCTTCATGTTTGAGGACAATGATCGAGACGACCTAGACGGCCCGCATATCACCGACGTCAAGCCAGAGAAGAGCTGCTGACTGACTGACTGACAGCTCTCTGGCTGGGGCAGTGAGTGGATGGATGGATCAACGCGGCTAGCTACGACAGCCAGTAGGGAACAGCTAGGTGCCTACAGTGTGAGTCCCGATGTAGGACGTAATCCATTCCTCCGAAATGGCAGGTTGATGGCGGATGTGACCGTCTGTATGTGCATGGCTGCATGTGATGTGCCTTAAGCTACCGATGTGATTGCATGCATTTTTTCCATACTCATTGATTGCCTTTGCAGATAGATGTGTAGATGTATGTGTGTGTGTGCCATATCAATGCGACACTGAGACCACCGTAGCCAGCTGTGCGTCCATGCATTCAATTAGTATTTGTGTGTGGGTGTGTGTCTGTCCACCTGCATGTCTCTCTCTCTCCCAAACAAAACCGCGCAGCCCACGTGTGTGTGATCCGAGCACTTCGCAAACCCTGCGCTTCCGTTCTCTGTTCGTCGGTGTGTGGCTCATAGCGGTCAAAAGCCATGTCTCCTACCACACACAGCACGCCCCTTTTCGGGCGGCACTCTGAGCTTCATTATCACGGCAGGCAGGCAGGCAGGCAAACGGACCCACAGGCAGGCAGGCAGGCAGGCAGTCAGACGGACGAGACGGCCGATCAGTCAGGCACCACTGAATTCGATCACTCACCAGTGCACTCTCATTCACGTTCACGCAGCCGGGCATTCAGGCATTCGGGCATTCAGGCATTCGGGCAGGCAGGCAGGCACGCTTACGATGATCTGTCAGCCCAGCATCATCATGACCAGCATCAGCTCACTGAATTCACCCATTCAACCATGTCCCGCCCTCTTGGTGTGGTCTGGTGTCTGTTGTGTTGTAGTTGGCTATCGCGCCTTGGCCTTGGCCTTCCCCTTTGCTTTGGCCTTAGCCTTGGCCTGAAACAGACAGACACAGACAAACAATACCCACATGAGAGGCGATTCATGTCTCCCTCCCTACCCCATCCATCCCATTCGGGCCCACCTTTGGCTTGGCCTTGGCCTTGGGTTTGGCGGCAGCGGCTTTGCCCTTGGCTTTGGCCTTGCCCTTGGCGGCAGCCTTCTTGACCGCCGCCTTCTTCGGCTTGGCCTCCAACGTATCACCTGACGTGGCCTCAGCTATGAACTCCTGAACGACCCCAACCCCAACACACACGGACAGAGGTGTGTTTGTGTCTGGCTGGCTGGCTGGCTGGCTCTCTGGTGGGTCGTGCTGAGCTGTGGGGTGACCATGAATGGTTTCCACTCTGTTCCGTCCCGGATTGCGACGATGCCGTCCTTCTCGGTGATGAATGCCTCCTGTCCGTTGAGTGTGTAGAGGGGCGGGTCCATCTTGACCACGGTGAGGTTGAGGTCCTTGTGGGTCTTGACGAAGTTGTTCAGGTACACGTCCACGGGGTCATCGGGATCACCGTTGACGACAAACTTGAGCCCGGCCTCCCTCTTGCCCGCCCCCGCACCCCCGCCCAGAATCACCTCGTGCTGGTCCACCATGACCTTGAGCGACGAGTGGCTCTGCTTGAGGGCCGCCATCTCGCTGTTGATGGCGTGCAGCAGCGCCATGCAGCTGTTGAGCTCGTTCTTGGTCGTCGCGTACTGCCATATCAACTCCTGGATGTCAGAACCCGGCCCACGGCGGCGCAAGTGGGGCGGCATCATCAACGGATGCGCTGGCACAAACGGCATCAGCATCGGACGGCTGCCAGGAGGCCCAGGGGGGCCGGGAGGCCCGGGAGGGCCGGGTGGTGGCTGCATCGCCCCCATAGTGGCGGGATGGTGGGGAGGCGGACCCATCGAAGGAGGAGGCACCATACCAGACTGCGGGCGGGGCAGCATTGGCGTCGATTGAGCGTGTGGAGGCGGCATCATGGCAGGAGGCGCGCCCGCACCAGGCATGGGGGGCTTGCCGGCCATCAGGATGGCGGTGGGCGGCGGCGCGTAGGGCGGCACCAACAGATTGGGCATCGACGGACCAGTGGGCGGGAGCTTGGTTGTGGGCGGCATGGGCATGGGCGGCTGAGGCCCTCCAGGGGCGGTATAGATGGGCACCTTCTGGCTCAGAGCGGGCGGCGGCACACCGAAGGGAGGACCAGGCATCATTTGGGGCGGAGGGGGCATCTTGCCCGCCGGAAACTGCTGCGGAGGGAGCGAGTGGTAGGCCTGCATGGGGGGAGGAGCCATGGGGCCGCCAAAGGCTCTCGTCCGCGCGTCTGACCGACCACAACCAGAAACACAGAGCGGGAGAAACTCCTGCAGTGTCCCCCCACTGCATGAAAAGAGGGGCTCCCTCCCTCCCTCCCTCTCTCTCCCTCTCGTGTGTGCCCACCTTGGCTCATTGGTTGGGGCTCGGGGACTTTCTTGGGTTCGCGGCGGCAACAGGACGACATGGTGTTGTTGTGTACGGGGGAAGCCCCACTTCGTTTACGCTCCTCAGCAGGAGGATGAGGGATGGGCGGAATGGACTCGAACCAAAGGGATGGATGGATTCTCACGGGATGAACGGCCCGAAGGGACAATGAGGGATTTCCAGCAAACAGGAAATGAATGGCTCAGACTACGGCCGAGGAATGGGTAGAACGGGGCGGTTTCCTTCGCCCTCCCAACTTTGCGAGCTTAGCTTGCAGACGAGGGTCGCGCATCAGTGATGGCCGATGGTGCACAGTGTGAGGCTTGTGATCCTCGTGCTGACATGATATCTGGTCAGCCTGATCAGAGCGTCCTGCCGGAGCGTCCTGCGCGTGCCAAGAAGCACACCATCCCCCTCACCAACGACATGAGTGAGCTCAAGAAGAACCGCACGAGCCGCGACAGGATGGGATCCGTGTCCACCGACCTAGATGAGCACACTGGCGGCGGGCTCGGCCGAGGAGATGGGGAGGGGCAGATGATGGCGACGGCAGGCGAGGGCGAGGGAGGTGGTGCATCGTCGTCGCTCAAGGAGAGTCAAAAGGTCAGCTGGCCTTGGCGCCAAGGCCAAGTGTTCTTACCGCTTTTGTGTGTTCTTTGCAGGTCAACCTGGAGGAGCTGCGCGAGGAGAACATGGGGCTGCGGAAGCGCCTCAAGGAGCTCGAATCGCAAGGTGGGGATCGCACGACAGCCACAGCACGCCAGACACGTGTGTGTGTGTGCGTGTGTTCGCCACTCATGTGTGCCTGTTGTGGTGCGTGTGTCCTTCCTGTGTGTGTGTGTTTTCAGTTGAGGATTTGCGCCTGAAGTACAGCATGGCGCTGGCCCAGAAGGACCGCCAGCTGGAGCAGAAGGACTTCGACAAGCTCACATTCTCGAGCATCCTGTGCGACCCCAACCAGCAGGACTGCCCCATCATTCTAGTCAGCTCGGGCTTCTGCGACCTCACCGGTATGCCAGCACACACTCAGTCGAACGTGGGCAACGAGAGCCGTCCATCCGCGTGTGTGATGGCGTGTGTGTGATGGTGTGTTGTGTGTGTGTGGCAGGGTACTCGCCCTGGGAGGTGATCGGGGTCAACTGCCGTTTCCTGCAGTGCGAAGACTCCGACATGAACGTCATCGGGCAGATCAAGCAATACATCAACCGAATCGTCAACGTGAGCGGCAGACAGACAAGACGACACACGCGCCATCCATCTCGTTCATCTGCACGACACTGTCTGTGTATGTTTCTGCAGGAGCCGACAGTGCACTTGTGTGACGATTTGGTGGTGAAGATCCTCAACCAGCGGAAGGACAAGCGGCGGTTCTGGAACCTGCTGCACATCAGCCCGCTCATGATCGGACAGCGCATCTACCTCATAGGCGTGCAGGTCAGCACAACACAACACACGACAGCGTAGCACACGCCTTCCATCAAGACGCATGTGTGCTGTCTGTCTGTGTGTGTGTAGGCTGACGTGACTCATCTGGATGTGGACCCGAACAACCAGGACCACAGAGACAAAGTCCGACAGGTTGTCAAGAAGGTGCGCTGCGCCCACCACGGACGGACACAACAACAACCAGCCGCAGACAGACAAGGAGATCACCCCCTCCTCTCTCTCTGCCTGTGTGTGTGGTGACTCACCAGATCTTCGAGATGGGCGAGGTGCACAGCGAGCTGTGTATATGATTGACTTCTCATGACGCTCGAGACCTACCAGACCGCTCTGGTGACCGACCTTTTTTCGTTTGGTATACAAGTACACGGATGAGCATGTGGATGGGTGGGTGGGGCGATCGAGATAGATAGATAGATAGATGCAAGTATGCAGTGAAGAGAGACGACTTTGCAGTGCGTGAGAGAGAGGGACATGCATGTTATGGTGGGGGGGCGGGGGGGCTTTTCGGGTCACGATAGAGCCGAGAGATTGCGTGTGGTGTCTATATAAGAGGGTACATTCTTGTACATGTATGTAAGTGACGGACAGTATTGATTGGATTGTGAAGCGCGTCACACACCCGGTCCAGCCCCTCACCTCTGACTCATCCATCGACCGGACACACACATCCATGTGCATACGACGCGCGTGTCTAGATGCGCGTTCTTTTGACACGGGCGGGCGGCCTCACCTATGCGCGCATCGGGTTCCCACCATCCCCTGCCCCGGATGTCTGCAGCGTTGTGGTGTCACGGTGTGAGTGTCTTCGGTGGGGAGGAAGGATGAGTTAGCGAACGTGAGCTGAGGCAGACGGAGAGAGGAAGACTATATATAGATGGGGGCTCGTGTGAGTATATGTACCTATCTATCTGATGTTTGCATGGACGTACGTGTGTGTGGGGGGAGAGCAGAGCGTATGTGCGTTCGTTCATGTGTGAGAGGGGTGGATGGCATCTGTGGGTGAGTCGGTGGGGGGGTGGATGGGGGATCATACTACTTACTAGCTGACTGACTGACATGTAGGCACTATTGGCGCCACCAGGGCAGGCCTCTAGATGCCGCCATGTATGTATAAGACAGGGAGACAGACAGACAGACACACGCAACAACGCCATCTGCATGGCGCATAATGCGTTTGTTTTGCCGCGATCCGGTCGATCGATCGATCGACTGACTGACTGACTGATTGCTCCACAAGTTTCTATGGAACTCCACTGACTGACTGACTGACTGGGGGAGCGCAAACATGCATTCATGGATACATACATATGTGCCTGCATGCATACATGCAATATGCTGATTTCTTCTTGATTGATGTGTGGGTTGTGTGTGTCCGCTGGCTGCATCAGTTGCAATCGACGGTGACGCCTGCGGTGTTAGTGGGCCCTCCGACGGCTGAGCAGCCGACAGCAACAGTCACCGGATAGCTCGGGGACATCGCACGCTGAACCGTCGATAGCGACCCGTGCAGTGGGACGTGTCGCGCCTGCCTGCCTGCCTGCCATCTCTTCTCCTAGGACCCTGTCTGCTATCTACAACGCGCTATTGCGCAAGTAGGGCCGGTGTTGTGGGGGATTGCATGGACTACGGACCGATGTGCGTGCGTGTGATGGATGTGTCTTGGGGTGTGGATGGATGGTGTCAGTGTGGGGGGAATGAATGGAGAGGAGATGGATGGGTGCATTCGCCAAAGAGAGGAGTTTTTGCTGTCCGTGTCCAGTACACTGCATGAATGAGTCCACAGCAGCTGCCATGGGGGGGGACGATTGGAAGGAGGGACAAGGAAGGACTGCAGTACATGATTCAAGTGGGGCGGCACGAGCACCCATTTTTGCTGAGATGAAGGAAGGACTCATTGTGAAGGTGTCGGTAAGTATGGGAAGCATTCTCGGTGTCTGGGTCTCGGTGCACATCCACCCACCCACCCACACACACAGAGAATCCGTCTTCCCTTCCCGTCTTGTCTGTCTCAACATTCATTCCCCGTCGGTGCTGCAGCATTGTGCCTGTCGAGACAAGAATGCGCTGCGCAGTCTTTCGTACCTCAGGCGATTGACAGACACTACACCGCTGTCTCTCTGCAACGCCGGGCTGCCACTGCTGCAGCTGGACAAGTCAGGGCTCACTGAAAGGGGCAGCATCTCCTCTGCCTGCTCGCCCTCAAGTTGCTCCCCCTGACGCAGACTCCTCTCCGGCGTCTCGGTGTTGTCCCTGGGGATGTCATGCGCTCCGTCTTCTGCCTCTTCTGACTCGTGCACGGTCACCAGAGGCTGGCCAAGCAGACCTGACGGGCGGAACATTTCTGCCCCTCCCCCATGGGCGGAAATAGCAGAGCCATCATACGGCGAGGGGATGCTAGCAAAGCTTGTGTCCACGTTGCTGCCAGCATAGCAGCCCTGCAATGGGCCATCGTCCGTCATCTGCTCGGCTGCCGCGGCATAGTGCTGCTGCTGCTGCTGGTGGAGACACTCTGCGGAAGGGCCGGCCTCCGTTTGACCGTCGCCAGACGTGTCGTCTGTGGGTGCCATGAGTAGCGGCGACGCCTGCGGGATCTGTCTCATCTCTGCCAGTGGGGAGCTGGTCAGCGAGAAGGCCGTGGGAGAAGCAGGCAGCCCATAGGGATTGCGGGAGTCCCGGGCGCGTAGATTCTCCTCACACTGGCTGTCTGCGTAAGACCGGGGGGCGGCCTTGTTGAGGCAATAGATAGGCACAGGAACGGTCGGCTGCTCACCTCCCCCAACTGACGGTGGCCCAGAGACGCCTTCATTTCCCCCACGATCTTGTCGTAGGTCTGTGTCTCGAGAAGGTCCCTGATTTGCACCATCTGTAGCAAGCTGCGCAGCAGCACGCTTTGCCGATGGCGGCAGGGGTGGCGGCTTCTTTACAAGACTTGTCCGAGTGCCCTGGTCAAGGACTTTCGGCTCTCCTGCCATCTCCTTGACACTGCTGCTTCGAACACCGCCTTTGTCTCCAGCCTCCTGATGCCGGGCGCTGCCCGCCTCCTCGCGCATGCTTCGGCGCGACGAGCGGCCGTCCCTTTTCTTCGGTGTGGGCGTCAGGCTCCGCTCTGTCCGATTGAGGGACGAGGCGGGCGCCCTGCCGCACAGAAATGCCGTCTTCTTGAGCGGAGCCGGGCTCTCCTGACGCATAACGCCCATGACGGGGGGTCGCTTCGAAGGGTGGTTGGCCGGAGAAGATGGGAGCTGTGGGCTGGATCGGAGGCTGCTGTTGGCCAGCCTTTCCAGAGGTTTGCTCTTGTAGTCGAGGGTCTCGCCGAGCTCAGTGGCCAGCCGTACGCGCTCCCGCAGCTCTTCTGTGGTCATCTTGAGCAGATAGGGGCGATTGTGGGCAGGCGGCGGTCGCTTCGCCTGTTGTGAGGCCTCTTGTTTCTTGATGGGCTGCAGAGTCGGCTTTGCCTCGGGATCGCCACCCTTGCTGTTGAGGGTCTCCAGTGGCAGGGGCGGCACTACTGGTCCCCGGCCCCTCCGTGGCGCATTTGTCTGGGAATCCAGCTTCGATGCCGCGAGTGTCACCGTCATTGCGTCGGTTGGCCTGGCCCTGCTGTAGCTGCTGATACTGCTGTCAGGCGAGTATGGGGACGGCTGGGGGAGAGGAGGCCTGTCCCGGGGCGGCGCTGAGGGGCCTGATGGGCCTGGCAAAGGGCGCGAGGGACTCGTGCTGCGAAGCCCCGGTGAGTGCTGCAACACGAAAGAGAGCCAGACAATAACTTGCAGGTGGATGTGTCTCCTTGTCTTGCTGCTACCGACCTGCAGGGGGTTGATGGATCCTTCTTCCCCAGGAGGCGGCGCGATCTCCTCACTCTTCTGCCCACATGTCTCAGCGTCGCTCTCATAGGCGGCGCCGTGCGGGATCGGCTGTTCGCCTTCATCGACCGACGCACGGCGATTCGCTGCACTCCTTCCTCCTCCCTTGGGAGCTTTCTTCCTCCTCAGCTGTGGCACGACGGTATAGACACCAGGGCGGGCCACATGAGAAGGTCGTTTCGATGCCGAATTGCTACGGCTCCTGGCGCCCGATCGAGGGCCAACGGGCGACGTGCTGCTGCGACGATTGATGGTGTCTGTCTTGACAGGAGTGGCGTTTGCCCCGTCCGATCGCAGCATTGCTCGCCAGGCCTGGTTGGCATCGAGTGTGTGCCGTCTCTGCTGGGGCGGCTCCTGTGACTTGGCACGAACCTTGACGCTGGGATCTTCACGGCTCCTTCCCCTACTGGCGTCCCTGCTGTGGCTGCGGCTCGCTGTGCGGTCTCTACCCGCTGCAGCAGTGGGAGGGATCACTGCGGGCTTCTTGCCTCCCTGTGGCGAGTCCATGCTTTGCCGATGAGCCGCCGCCTGCTTGGCCTGGGAATGTGCTGGGTCTTCTCGACTGATGGACGCCTTGGCACCCGCACCCGCTCTAGCTCCTTCTCTCCCCCCCAGTGCGACTCGCTCTTCCCGTTGGAGCGTGCCGGGCGTGAGACACGGCGGTGTGGTGAGCGACAGCGCTGAAAAGGACTGTGGTGTCATGGCCGCCTGGGCATACTGACGCATCTTGCCCTCTTTGGTGTCAGCATCATCCTTCTTGTCTGAGTCTGGCTTGGGGTCAGGGAACCGCAGCACATATGTCTTGAAGGAAATGTCCGACGGGGCCGTGGGGGAATCCAGCAGCTCCTGATCAGCAACAGCCGCAAACCTGGAAGGCCCGCCTTCCAGCTCTCCGTGTGGTGACGATAGCACCAGTCTGCCCGCGTCTCCTCGGCTGTCCTCCCACGTCCGCCGCACAGGAGAGTCAGAATAGCCAGCCGGTGCCCCAATACACGTGTGCGAGGGAAAGAAGAGCTGTGGCTTGGGCATAGGGTGGTTCTGCACTCCAATGGCGTCACGGGGAGACAACACATCCGAGAAGGTGTCACGGGTCGACAGGTGGGCCATCAGCGACGACGCTACTTGGTTGGCTTCACGAGCAGGCCGCCGAACGTCTCTGTCTGTTGGCAGAAACATGGGAGCCGGGCATACGGCAGGTGGAGGGATGCTCGGCCTGGGCGGAAGAGGTACATTTGGCCCTGCCGGCTCAACTGTCACCGGTCGGGGAGGCCTGACGTCCCTCAGAGGAGTGACAATTGGTGGCGCCTTGCTCACGACGGGCGGCGGGGACTTGTGCCGGGGTCGGGGCGCTGCAGGAGCCACTGCAGGTGTCTCGGCGGGTCTCTTGGGCTGAGGAGGACGTCTGTCCCTTGTTTGAGGCGTTGGTTCTCGATGCTGTGCTCCTGCGCGACGAGCATGTGGCTCTGCATCGGGGAGCACTGCCAGATAGACAGAAATCGAAACGAGACAGGCAAAGAATAGATATTATCTCTTTTCGTGTGGTCTCGCACACTGGGTCTCTCTGACCTTTCTTCCTGGTGGTCTTCTTCTTTGCCACTGCCTTGTTCTTCCGTTCCTTCTTGCCCTTCCCCGGGTGGAACGCTGATATGTCCTCCTTGCTGCCGCCGCGAGGCACGCTGGGCAACGAAGGGTCCTCACGCGCAGCCCTGAAGTTACAACCCTGCCATTGCTTCATCACACCCGATGCTAGTCTTCTTCCTGCCTCACCCATGCGACAACTTGTGGGCCCTTGTGAAGACGTCACGGCTCACTGAGCGCCCAAATCCAGGCAGGCAGGCCACAAATGGTGGAGGCAGGCCAGGAGGGAAAGGCTGCGGGTACGGCGGTGGAATGCCGCGCACCATCCCGGCAGGGCCCTGTGCAAGGACGACTGCCCGGTGCGGGTTCGCAGGTGGCGGGTAGAAGGGCGGAGGGTGGCGGAGAGGGGAAGGCCCGGAATGGTCAGGGGAGACGAAGAAGCACATGCCATTGGCTGCGTGGCTCGGAGTGCTGGAGCACGGGAGGCTAGGGCCCCTCACACTTTGCCCTCCTGGCGCTCGTCGCATCACCACATCGAGGCGGACAGAGCCTCCGAGGCGTTACGGAGTGGAGACGTGGCTTGAGACAAGTGTCGAGGCAGTGTGGTCTACGCTTCTCCGCACGGTCCGTCAGAAAGCCTGTGCCGTGGACTGGCGTACTGCTGCGCTCTGTAGTGGCGGCCCGAGACGGAAACCTGCCCCCAGCCCACAGAGGTAGCCCACAGATCCACGGGGACGATGCTTTCGGATGGGATGATCTTGGGATGAATTCCACTACTTTTGGGACCCTTCCCCGCCTTCGACAAGGACCCCCCACTCCGCCGATTTGTGGGCCCTCGATGGAGGGTGACACGGTCAGCCCCGGCAATGATGACTTGGAAGGGCGGTCGGAGCCAATCGGCAGAAGCGAGGGGCGGTGTCAGTGTTTTCTCCGGCAGGACATGCACACCTCCGTCGGCCCCAGCTGCGAGAACACATCCGGAACACAACCACGGGAGCTCGGTGACCAAAAGAGGCCCCAAGAGCTCATCGCCGAGAAGGTCCGTGCTCTCAGCCAGGAGATTCAGAGCAGCGACTGCCTCCTGGACCTTGACCTCCGACAAGGAGAGGCGGCGAGCGTCCATGTCAACGAGGATGCTTTCAGAAGGCCCAGCCATCATGCAATGTCACAGTCGACCTTCACCCTTCCGGACATCTCTGAGGAGGGGAGGCCGGGGCCGCAAAGGGCCGAGGAGATGGCCATCCAGGCAATGAAGATGGAGTTCCAGAAGGCTGCCGGTGAGCCAAATGAACGGGCCGAAGGGCACACAGCACTAGTCTGGTGACAGTACAAACCTGGTGAGTCCTCTGCTTGGCTGCACCGATGTGCAGGGTACCCGGCGGCCTTTGAGGAATTCGAATCGCACCTGGTCTATGAGCAGAAAACCGTAGAGGATGACGGAGAGACAATTCAGCTGCGGGAAGTGCTGGTTGGCACTCGGTTTACGCCGGAGCCATTCATGCGGTCATTGCGGCGAGTGGTGCGAGTGGTCGTTCTACAAGTGCTGTATGCCTTTTTTCTCGCGCTGCCGCTGGTCTTGGCGGTGCCCCTGGTGTGGAAGACTTGCGAGTCCAACATGGCCATCGCGGTTGATTATGCAAGAATTGTCATCGGCTGCTTGGCACTCATTATATTGTTCGTGGCGCTGGTTGAGGGGTGCCGCCCATGTGGAATGCTCCGGCGCATCCGCCAGTTTTTGGTTCTTTTTGTGGTAGCCGTAGTGGCCTATACTACCTTGCAGACCTTGGCTAGATACCCTCAGCTTAAACTATTCCTTTGGATTTCTCTTGCGTAAGTGAGAGATGGAGTGTGAGAGGCACGTGCCTTCTGTCTCCATGTCTCGATGTTCACGCGTTCCCTACAGATTCGAGAGGGCAGTATACGCCGTGATGGTCCCTCGGTTCTTCTGGCATGTCTCGCGAGACATGCCAGGGGTGGTCAAGAGGCGAAGGCTGTATACCATTCAGATGACCTTCCTTGTGTACACGCAATCGGTTCACACGCTTTTGTGGGGGAGGCTCTTTCTGCCAAAAGCCGAGAGAACCACAACGGACGGCGAGAGAACACAACTGGCGGTCGCATTTTTGTTTGCCAGCTTTCTTTTGGTGGCGACCGTGAATGGCCTTTGTCGCAAGATGCGGGACGGCCCTCCTCTCCTCAACTTTGCGATTATCTTCCCCATCATTGTTGGCTCGCTGATCGTACCGCGCTTCCTGCAAGTGAGGATGATGACTTCTCAACACATGGATGTTGAGTAGCATTCCCTCTGTGCAGGCTGAAATGACTGCCCTCAGCTACAAGATCAAGTCGTCTCTGCTGTTCGCCCTCTACGATCTCCTGGGTGACCTGGCAGTGCCCTATGCTGACATGCTCCACGCCAAGATCATCCGGATGTGCACACGTATCCGCGACGGCCGCTGGCCCAAAGGGGGAGACACGGCTGGCCTCCATGGCCTTTCCGTGACTTCAGGCGGCAGCGAGACAACCCGCACACGGGCAACGAGCACGAAGGGAGCAGCATTATTCATCAACCGAGCCGGCAGTGGGGAGCCGCTGCGATCGTCGAGTGAGATCTATCAGAGTGTGATGCGGGCAGGCCGCATGCGGTCGACAACAAGCGGGCTATCATCCATGGCGTCCGTGGTCGATCTGCAGAGCAATTTCATGGACTATGACGTCAAGCCACGATACCTTCGTGCGTTGGCGGACCAAACCCATGCCTACAACCAGGCCGAGAGCCTGATTCTGATTTTCATCAATCTGTCGTTGATGTTGATGGAGCAGCTGCTGTCTCCCTCGCTGCCTCGGCTGTTCGAGAGGCTGGGCGGGCTGTGTCTCCTGGTCGCCATCGAGATGGCATGCGAAATCGTTCTGTTCATGGTGGGTGGGAGTCCTGGCTAGTGAGAGGGAGAAGGGAGGGAGACACACGGGACAGTCCACACAGGCTGTATCTCCCATTCGTGTGTGTATGTGTGTGTATCTTATGTGTCTAGGTGGCAGTTCGCTTGCACAACCTGCCTATATTGCGAAGCGAGGATGAGCCTGGAGTCCTGACATTCAGGCTGACGACACTGCTGGCAGCGGCTGTGCTGATCACGTCACAGATGATGCCCTTCATCGCGCTGTTCCTACTGCGCGCACTGCAGCCTTCTGTCTTTGGTGAGGTGCGGTTAGGAGAGCTGTGTCCACATGGGACCTACGCACAACCTCGGTGGGCCGTGTAGGGTAGATGGTCGAGCACTTAGGCTTATGTGACGATTAATGTCTTTTCTGAGGAAACGCGGCCTTGGCTGAGACATGGATATAAGTGTGTGTGGAATCACGGTATTCATTCAAGGATGATGCATACGCACGTATCCGTCCGTCGGTCCGGTCCGTCCTTCCCCTCTCTGCACCCAAGCCATACCTACACGTGCACACATCAATGTCTGGCAAACGAGGTCGACCATGCATTGAGATGGATGTATTCGTGCTCACAAGTGCAGGTCGGGACATCCGACCGAAGAAGGGAAGAGGGAATAGAGGGAGACAGACACGCCGTCTCCACCTACTCCCTCGACGCATACGTACATCTGCGCGCCCCCCTTTCCCGTGTTCATCGACGTGTTCGGATTGCGAAGAGAAAGTTCCCAGCCTACCGCGTTTGGTGAGTGTGCTGGCCAGTCTCAGGTTTGATGCGGGTGAAGAACCAAGATTTTAGCGACGATGCATGCGTCGTATTTATGGTGGTCTCCATTGTCTATAGATGTGTGTCTCCACGACGAGTGTGTGGTCTGCACATGCTCAAATGCGCGACCGAAGCAAGACATGGCCAGATGTTATCGACAAAATCGGCGCCAGATGGCGCTTGTGTCCATAGACATGTACGAATGTATGTATTGGTAGTTCATCCATGCATGCAGTCACTGCACTGATTGCGCCATCAGACCTATCAGTCAGTAGTCCCTGCAGATATCCCGGCCGAACATCCTGGTCTTGAGCCAGTCGACACCCACGAGGAAGCGGTTCCTCCAAGACACCTGCTTGGACAAATATACCCCTCGCCATAGAAGCCACCCAACCGTGCCAGCCTGCTTGATAACATTCTGATCAAACTGACGACAAACACGACACACAGAGACAGACAGACACAGAGAGCTTATGGCGCACATCGATTCATTACCACCCGCGCACCTGCACTTGCGCGAGCGCGCTGTTGTCCCCCGTGTATGCGAGGATTCCCAGGTTGAGGAACTGGAAGGCCTTGGGGTAATCGTTGGAACCGTCGATCAACACCTCACTCAGGGAGCCCCTCCTCCCCAGCCGCTTCGGGATCGGGTGTGCCCTGAGATCCACATCGTGGTTCAGCAGCCGGCCCAGAAACGCACCCTGCTGACTGGCCACCTGCACAAGACACACGTGATACGCAGCCAGAGACACAGGTGAGTGACAGGTTGGTGTGGGTGTAGTGCATTCACCTGTGCGGTGGCGGGCAGGGGTGTTTCGTCCATGAGTGTGCAGTCTCCGATGGCGAAGATGTCGTCAGCGCCTTTGACCCGGAGCCATGGGTCGACCACCAGCCGCCCCCTCGCCTTGGACTGCGCCGCCTTCTGCTCGGAAAACTTGTCAATCGCGCTCAGCACCAAAGGAAGGGGACCGTTGCCTGCATTCCATTCCATTCCATCCCATCCCATCCACACAGCCAATGAGTGAAGGGTGCACCTGTTTGTGTTGTTAAAGAGTGGGCATACCTGCTGCCCACACGACCAGGCCGTATGCGACTCTGTCCCCATTGGTGAGGACCACCTCTGTGTCGGTGATCTCTTTGACGCCCGCCTGAAGCTTGATCTCTGTCAGCGGATCGGCCGAGGCGTCCAGCAGACCTCTCGCCACAAGACGATCAGGACGACTCAGCAAACGCTGAACAAAATGCAGGCGGGCAGAGCGAGCATCCATCCGCTTGACATTCTTCCCTTCCTCCCCTCTCTCACCTACCTCTGCAGCCTTTTGCCTGAGCGACTCGTCGAAGGCCATGAGGACCGTATCGGTGGCCTCAACCAGCTTGACACGGACGTGCTGCAGCAGATGAGGATAGTACCTGCACATGTACGCAATCAAGCCCGCGTCGGTCATGACACCACCGTCCCTCGCTCTCCACCTACATAACGCTCACTCACCTCGGCACGTCTTGTTCGACGAAGTCGAGCAGCTCCGACATGAGCTCCACGCCGGTGGGGCCGGCCCCCACGACCACAAAGGTGAGGATGGCCTGCCGCTGCGCATCGCTCAGACCAGGGATGTTGGCACGCTCAAACACGTTCCCTATCGCACGACGCAGCTTCTTGGCGTCGCCAACCTGATATAATGAACACGGCAACCAAAACCATGGGTGGGATGGCTCTCTGCACTCATGCGTGAGCCTGGCCCAGTGTGTGACCTGTTTGAGGAACTGGCAGTGCTCCTTCACACCGGGAATGTTATAAGTGGCGGTCTGTGCGCCGACCCCGATGAGCAGGCGGTCGTATGGCACCTCGAACTGCTCGATGGTGCATGAGGTGCCCTCACACACCACTGACTGACACGCCACCGTCTTCTTGACCGGATCGATGTCCGTGCAGGTGGCCTCATAGTAGTCCACAAGCGGGTTCACATTGCGGATGGGATCTGTGCACAGACAGACAAGACAGAGGGGGGAAGAGGAAATCAGCAAAACCAAAAAGCAGAACAGCTTCGTGTGTTGGCGCATCGTATCCTCACTGACCAGTGATAGATCTGTACTCTACAGTGCCGAGGGCCGCCCCCGCGAGCATCGGCGTGAAGAGGAAGAAGTTCCTCGGGCTAATCACTATCACCTCATACTTGGACGCATCCACCGTTGACAGGAAGGCGTGCGACCCCCACCCAGTGCCCAGCACCACTATGCGCTCCCTCTTGCCCTTCTCAGCACCTCTCGCCGACGGCCGCTGCCTCAGAGAGACCAGGAAGTCATCGACATTCTCGATGAACTTCTGAGTCACGACAGCTGCATAAGGTCTTGGTTTGACTAGATCCTTCAACAGACCGCCCCCGACATCCACTTCCCCCAGTGCAGACTCCGCCGCATCGACGTTGCGCGAGGCCAGCTCATTGCGCAGCTTCTCCTCATCGAGCTTGGTCGACGCAGAGCGGCGGGCAAGGTGCAGGCGGCCATCTGATGGGCGTTGGCGAAGGGCTGGGAGGAGGGGGATGAAAGACGGGGATGAGCGTTGATGCGATGAGATGACTCCACAGCGTTGATGCGCTGATATGACTCCTGCCGCAAACCCACCCATTTGCAAGGCGAAGATCAGCACTGCGGCAGCGTATGATGCCATGGCGATTCTCACCCTTCACCAACAACCCAGCAGACCACACCCCGCATTCCTGACAGGAGATCTTCACACAGGTCGCATTCAAGCCTGAGCTTGCATCAAATAAGGCTCTGAGCGCGCAGCTGCAGGGTGTCAGATCTTTCGGCTTGGATCTGCTGAGCACACCTGAGCACACCCACTTCACTTCCTCCGTGCTCGTCTGCCGTCACCCACCACTTGGCAGCTTGGTCAGCCTCGGTCGTCAGCTCTTCAAAGCCCTTTGCATTTTTCTGACATGGACGTTGTTCGTTCGCGATAACGTGCCCTGCAGCACTGCCTCCTCGCTCTTCTCTTTTGCGGCTGGCCTTGGGGTGGGTTGTCCGTTGACACACCTCAGAAGGAGTTGTGGCGGTGGTTCTGATGACGTGTGCGGCGGACATATACGAGTATGACATGGCCCACCGAGGCGGCCACCTCCCCGCCGGCACACCCGCGTCTGAGACAGACATCAAGGGAGACGGAGGTCCTGTGGTCACTGTCGTCTCGCTGCCGCCGGCATACAACCCGCCACGACACCAACTCAACGGACACAAAAGCTCCGTGGTCAGCTCACACACCAAGACAGCCAGGCGGACACACAGACAGACAGACAGACGGGATGTATGGCTGATTCGTGCTGTCACTGCCGTCACTGCTCTGTCTGTGTGTGTGTGTGGTAGACGCGAGGTCCGTGTTTTGCGAAGCTCCTCGTCAACAACATGGTGGCAGGCGCCGTCATCGGCAGAAGCGGTCAATGGGGCACAAACTCACACAGACATGGAGCCGGACGGTTGTGGCATTTTCTTTGTGTGTGTGTGTGTGTGTGTGTTGCCTTGCAGGGAATGTGATAAGTCAGATAGAGAAGCTGAGCGGTTGCACGATGCGCCTGTCTCCCCCGAACGACTACTTCCCCAACACCACCGACAGAGTGGTCCTCATCACCGGACAAATCACCGACGTGCTCAGCGCAATCAAACACATAATGGTTGGTACCTCCCCTACGCCAAAAGACGCTCTGACAGTGCACCAACCAACGCCCATTCCACCCCCCTCCCCCTCTCCGCGTGTGTGGTGCAGGAGAAGCTTCGTGAGTCGGCCATTCAGACCGAGGCCGAGTCTTCGAGCGACGACCGCCCCCACCTCCACCAGCGGTCCCGCTCCTTCCACGTGGCCGACGGCAACGACAGCGCCACATCGACGTCGAGCAGCCAGTCCAACCTGCAGCCCCACCACACACACACACACCCGCCCCACCACCCTCGCTCCCCCATGCACATGCTCATCCACCACGACGCCAGTGACGACGCCCACACCATCATGGCCCCAGACAGGGGCGTCATCGGCATGGCTGTCGACCCCAAATTCACCCTCAAGATCGTCGTGCCCAAGTCGGCCGTCAGCGGGCTCATCGGCAAGGGCGGCGCCACCATACAGCAGCTGCAGTCACAAACCAAGACCAAGATACAGATCTCCAACAGGTACGCACCCCATGCCAGGCCCTCATACGTGGTCACGTCGAATCGACAGATGTGCGTGTGGTGTGGGTGTTTCTGCATCTGCTGCCATTGCAGGGAGGAGGGTCTGCTGGAGCGGATAGTGCACGTGACGGGCGCCTTCTCGTGCATCAAGCCTGCGGTGGAGTTCGTCGTGCGACACATCCAGTCGGACCCCAACCTGCAAAACCACCTTCAACTCTCTTACCAGAAGTCCCCCAACACCAACCACAGCAGCAGCGGCAGCCACCACGCACCCCAGTCCCACCCCCTCCCGCCGTCGTCCAAGGCGGCCACGCCCCCCGCGGCGCCCATCGTCACGTCGGGGTCGCAGGTGTCGTCCCACAGCGAAGGCAGCAAGACCTTCACCGGCACACCATTCCTCACGAGCGAGTCGACCGGCGTCACCGACAGCGACGGGCCATGGGTGACCTACCAGACACACACGCACTACAAGAAGGGTGGGGCAGACGCGTCGCCCTCGAGCTACGGGCTGGTCGCTTCCTCCGCTGCCCACGGCGGCATGGGGACTGACCAGGTGGGTGTGGGTGTGGGTGGGGCGGACGGCGGTGGCTGTGGTGGTGCGGGAGAGAGCGGCTGCGGCTCGTCGGCTGGACTGGCACGTGCTCGGCTGAGTGGTGCGCTGATGAAACTCGGGGCACCCGAGCCAGACGGGACCAACGGAGAAGCTGTTGACACTCTCAGAGGTACAGCCACCACTGTGTGCGCCACAGAGGGATATCTGTGGACTTCTGACTGAATGCGTCTTCGTCTGTTGGTTGGCTGGCCATATGTGTGTAGGTGTGTTCAGCGGTCAGTGTGACATCGATCTGCCGGTGGCTGACTCGATGGTGGGGGCGATGATCGGCAAGGGAGGCGCCCACATATCCGAAATCATGAAGGTGTCTGACACCAAGATCCAAGTCTCGCAGAAGGGCGTCTTCATACCTGGTGAGCACGACAGCGTCCCACCTTTCATGCGCTTCGTTCACGCTCCTGCGTGCATGGTGCTGTGTTGTGGCTCTCAGGCTCTCTCAACCGGCGAGTGACCATCAGCGGTGAGCCAGCAACCACAAACCATATACGGTCGCTGCACCGTTTCCCGTCCACTCACTGCCCCCGTCTCTTGCCTGTCTGTCTGTCTGTCGTGTGTGTTTTGTGCGTTAGGCACGGTGGAGGGCGTGCACACGGCCCACATCTTGCTGCTGGGCAAGATCCGCGAGAACCAGGCAGAGATCGCCAAGAAGCAAATCCGCGTCATCGTGCCAGAGACAGGAGCCGGCAGCAGCGGCGGGAGTGGGGTCGCACACGCCGCCACCACCACCACCACCACGTCGCACAGCCACCTCTACAGCCAGCCCTATCCATACCCACCGGAGGGTGCCAGCCCCTTGCAGCCTGAGGCGTCTGCCGCAGTGAGCAGGAGCGTGGGCGTCACGACGTCAGCTCTCGACCTACCCGAGCAGCGGCACATGGGTCTCCCCACCCTCCATCGGGCCACGATCGCAGGCTCCCTGCCGATGCCCAACCCATGGCAGCATGACGACCGACACCCACCCCCACACCAGCAACAGCACCAACAGCAACAGCAGAGCTACTACGCCGCATCGCATCCGGCGTCCATGGCACAGCAGAGCCCGACCCCATTCCTCCCCTCGTCGTCGCAGAGCCTCCCCACTGGCGCCCCGCTGCCACACACCAGAGGCGATGCGGCGATGCCACACCACAGCCCACTCACACACGCAGCCACAGCGGGGCAGGGGGACGCCTCCAGCGGGCTGTACCTGTCAGGCGGCCACTGGGCGACGACCGGCAACCTGCAGCACCAGCAGCAGCAGGTGACGCACCTGGCGGCTGCGTCTGGTGCCCATGACCACCGTGCTGTGATGCCCCCGACGCATCACCATCCCTCAGCGATACCGGCAGCGCCCATGCCGACACAGCAGCTGCCCAAGCGCGCCGCCACCGGGCCCTTCCCCTCACCCACGGGTGCCCCGAGCCCGCCCGTATCGTCGTCGGCCCTGATGGCTGGTGGTGGTGGCCCCTACCCCCCTCCACCTGTCGTGTCACCCTACACGGCCAGCTGGCAGGACCACGGCAGCGGCGGCCTGCTGCCAATGCCACCACAAGCCACACAGGCCGGCGGGAAGACGCCCGTGGGAGCGCCGGCGGCACCTTCTGGTGGGTATCACCCCCACGCTCACCATGGTCTGGTGCATGCGTGGCCGACGGCAGCCCCCTTGGCACAGCAGCAGCGGATCCGGTGAAGGTGTCTGTATGTCTATGACGAGAGGGGGTCGGTCCATGTCCGGGTGGCTGGGTGGCTGGGTAGTCGTGTGTGTCCGTGTGTGTATGTTTCGGTGCAGTGGCTCCTGAGGGAGGGAGGCAGGGAGGGTTTTGATGTGTACCGTGATGTGTACCTACCGTACATTTGGCAAGTGGCTGCCTCTCTCTACCCATCTGTATCTCTCATCTCCTCCCTTCTCGGCTTTGCTTGTGTCCTCCCAGTGGTGTCTTGGGATCTCTCCAGAGGCAGGATTGACACCACACGGCATGACATGACATGACATGACGCACAGGCGAGGCCAGGCCAGGCCAGGCGAGGCGAGGCGAGACTTGCCTGCAAGCAGGCCGGCCGGCACCATTTGTGTCATTCATTGCATCTTTTTGATCCCCTTGTCAGCGTAATGTGTGTGACGTGACTAGCTTGCGTGTGTGTAAGTAAGCAAGTAACTAAGTAAGTACTAACATTCATTCATTCAGTAGGGCGAGCGGGCGCAACGCCCCCCCCCCCCCCCCC